AACCCTAAACCCTAAACCCTAACCCCAAGCAGGCTCGGTGGCCTGCAGAAGGTGCCTTTCCTCCAAAGGATGCTTCGGGGCTTCGGGAGGATTGAGGCTCCAGGACGCCAGGACGTTAATGCAAGTCCGAACGGTTTAGGGTTTTGGGTTTTGGGTTTTGGGTTTCGGGTTTAGGGTTTGGGCTATATCTTCGGGGTCTTATAGCCTAGTTTGGAGCACTTACTCCCCACTTTAGGGTGCTTTTCACTCTACTTGGAGCCCCTAAACCCCAACCCTAATTCCCCCATTCCCTACTAGGAACCAGGGGATCCCTAAACCCTAAACCCTAAACCCTAAACCCTAAACCCTAAACCCTAAACCCTAAACCCTAAACCGTAAACCCTAAACCCTAAACCCTAAACCCTAAACCCTAAACCCTAAACCCTAAACCCTAAACCCTAGACCCTAGACCCTAAACCCTAAACCCTACTAGGAACTAGGTATTTTTTGGATAAGGCACCGCACCTCAACGGCCGACGCGGTCTTGTGCCTCTCGGCCTGCCGTTTGCTGCGGGGGAAAAGGGGGAAACGGGGGAAAGGGGTGGAGGGTTCAGGGTTTAGGGTTTAGGGTTTAGGGTTTAGGCTTTAGGCTTTAGGCTTTAGGCTTTAGGCTTTAGGGTTTAGGGTTTGGGGTTTGGGGTTTGGGTTATTTCAGGCAATGGCCTCTTTATGAAGGGGTAACTGTCAAAATGGCCCGTAACAGAAACAGATTTGGGAAGAGATTCCGTAAATATTTTTAGGGTTCAGGAAATTGGGACCCCCGCAGGCCCGTGACAAAAACAGATTTGGGAAGAGATTCCGTAAATATTTTCAGGGTTCAGGGTTTAGGAACCCGGCCAAAGCTGAAAGAGGCCACCTGCCACAACCACCCCCCGAAGCGCATGTTTGAGTAGGGGCCAAAGCTGAAAGAGGCCACCTGCCACAAGTGGTCTTTCGCCCAAAGTCCTGTACCTAAAGAGGCCACCCCCCCTGAATGTCCAAAGCACATGTTTGAGTAGGGGGGGCCAAAGCTGAAAGAGGCCACCTGCCACAAGTGGGCTTTCGCCCACAGTCCTGTAACTAAAGAGGCCACCCCCCCTGGCCTCTTTATGAAGGGGTGACTGTCAAAATGGCCCGGAACAGTAACAGATTTGGGAAGAGATTTGGGAAGAGATTCCGTAAATATGTTGTTTTTGAGTGTGGACATTGAAGAGGGCTGGCCTCTTTAGTTACAGGGCTTTGGGCAAAACCCAGCTGTGGCGGGTGGCCTCTTTCAGTTTTGGCCCCTTTTGTTCAAATACATGTTTTGGACATTCAAGGGGGGTGGCCTGTTTAGCTACATGACTTTGGGCGAAAGCCCAGTTGTGGCGGGTGGCCTCTTTCAGCTTTGGCCCCTGTTGCTCAAATATGTGTTTTGGACATTGAGGCCGGGCAACACATTTCCTAAAGTAGTTAGTGTCGTTTTGGTGACCAGAGCCGGGCGACACATTTCCCATAGTAGTTAGTTGTTTTAGTGGCCAAAACCGGGCGACACATTTCCTAAACTAGGTCGTCGTTTCTGTGGCCAAAGCCGGGCGACACATTTCCTAAAGTAGTTAGTCGTTTTAGTGGCCAAAACCGGGCGACACAATTCCTAAAGTAGTTAATCGTTTTAGTGGCCAAAGCCGGGCGACACATTTCCTAAAGTAGTTAGTGTCGTGTTAGTGACCAAAGCCGGGCGACACTTTTTTTCCTAAATTAGTTAGTCGTTTTTGAGACCAAAACCGGGCGACACATTTCCTAAACTAGTTCGTCGTTTTAGTGACCAAAACCGGGCGACACATGTCCTAAAGTAGTTAGTCGTTTTGGTGACCAAAACCGGGCGTCACATGTCCTAAAGTAGTTAGTCGCTTTAGTGACCAAAGCCGGGCGACACATTTCCTAAAGTAGTTAGTCGTTTTAGTGACCAAAGCCGGGCGAAAATTTCTTAAACTACTTAGTCGTTTTAGTGACGATGTTTCACCTCTTGTCTATTGTTGCTAAGCGGAAAAATGCTTTTACAAAAAAACAAGAAAGCTGAAAACAACTACAAAACCCTAGACAAGGTAGTCTTTCAACTTTTTGGCCACCCCTATATATGGTTGTGCGCTGTGCGTTCCGCCCCCCCCCCAGGTATCCCACCCCCCCATGGTCTACAGTCTCCCCTAAACCAAGCCTAAACCCTAAACCCTTATATAACCCTAAACCCTAAACCCTACACCCTAAACCCTAAACCCCTAAACCCTAAGCCCTACACCGTAAACCCTAAACCCTAAACCCTAACCCCTAAACCCTAGGCGGGGGGGGGTCCCGTGGTGGTGGTGGTGGTCCCGTGGTGGTGGTGGTCCTGTGGTGGTGGTCCGTGGTGGTGGTCCGTGGTGGTGGTCCGTGGTGGTTGTCTGTGGTGGCCGTGGTGGTGGGGAGGGGGGGGGGGCGGGGGGCCGCCGGGGCGCAACCATACATAGGCCGTGCAAGAAACTCAAGGACACGGTTGAGGGTTTGGGGGTTTAGGGTTTTGGGGTTTCACAGGGTTCGGGCCAAAGCCCGACACAAAACACCCTAACCCCCAAAACCTTAAGGGTTTCGGATTTAGGTTTAGTTTAGGGTTTAGGCTGGGTGTTTTAGGGTTTGGCTTTAGGGTTTTGAAGATTAGGGTTGTTTAGAAGTTTAGCTGGTTTGGGGCTGTTTAGGGTTTAGAAGCTTTGGTTTGGGCCTTGAGGGCTATATTGTTTATTCTGGGAGTGGACTCGGGGGGACTTACTGGAAGGTATTTTATTATTAGGTTGTATTCATTTCAGAGGCCATGAAAGAGGAGGCCCTGGAACAGTTCTAGTCTGTTCCGGGTACCGTCAAAAAGTGTGCAAAACAACATGCCCTGGAACAGTTCTAGTCTGTTCCGGAGCAGAAAACCAGGCCCCGGAACAGTTCCAGAACAGTTCCGGAACAGTTCCGCTTTGTTTCGGGATTTTGCCCCAAAAACGTACGCCCTGGAACTGTTCTAGTTTGTTCTGGAGCATATGAAAACAAGGTTGTTTTTTCTTATTATCTTCTGTTGTTTTTTATATATTTTTCATATTTGTTATGCTGTTATTTTGTGATATATATATATGTACATATTTCATTGTTATATTGCTATATTGTTATCTTGTTGTATTGGTATCTTGTTATCTTGTTATTTTGTTATATTGCTATATTGTTATATTGCTGTATTGTGTTTTTACTGTCATAGTATTCTATTCTTCATAAATCATAAAATGACATTATTCACAACGTGGACATTTTCCTCAGGGGACAAAGAGTCTCTAAAGGAGTTCCAAGGTCTATAAGTCTATAGCTTCTATAGGCTATAGGCCTATCCTGCCTCTCCATTCGGGATGACGGAAGGCCTCTCCGGCGCACTTTTGGCTCACGAAAGTGCGCTGGGGAGGGTTTTCGTGGCTCAGGGACAGAGGGGATCCAAAAGGAGTTCTATAGTCTAAGTGTCTATAGCCTATATTGGCTACAGGCTATAGGTCCATACTGCCTCTCCTTTCGGGATGACGAAAACCCTCTCCGGCGCACTTTTGGCTCACGAAAGTGCGCCGGAGAGGGTTTTTGTGGCTCAGGGGACAGAGGGGATCCAAGTTCTATAGTCTATGGCTATAGGTCTATCCTGCCTGTCCCATTTTGGATGACGATAAAAACACTCTCCGGCGCACTTTTGGCTCACGAAAGTGCGCCGGGGAGGGTTTTCGTGGCTCAGGGACAGAGGGGATCCAAGTTCTACAGTCTATGGCTATAGGTTGGGTTCGGCCGGTCCACACTAACAGTCAAATAACGCCGTGGCCTTATAACACACAGGCCAAAAATAGCACCAGGAATCCCAGTCAATTTTAGCATTTAGCGGGTGCGTATTTTTGTGGGTCTGCTGGTGGTGACTGTTAGTCACATAGCAGCAGAAATAGCACCAGAAATAGCACAAACAATAGCACAAAAAATAGCACCAGAAATAGCGCCAGGAATAGCACAAAAAATAGCGCCAGAAATAGCACAAACAATAGCACCAGAAATAGCACCAGGAATCCCAGTCAATTTTATCAGCTTAGCATTTGCCGGGTGCTGTTTTTGTGGGTCTGCTGATGGTGATTATTAGTCACATAGCACCAGCAACAGCACCAGAAATAGCACCAGAAATAGCACAAACAATAGCACAAAAAATAGCACCAGAAATAGCACAAACAATAGCACAAAAAATAGCACCAGAAATAGCACCAGGAATAGCACAAAAAAATGCACCAGAAATAGCACCAGAAATAGCACCAGGAATAGCACCAGGAATAGCAGGAATCTCAGTCAATTTTTTGGCATTTACCGGGTGCTTTTATTTGTGGGTCTGCTGGTGGTGACTGTTAGTGTGGACCGGCCGAACCCAAGCTATAGGTCTATCCTGCCTCTCCATTTTGGATGACGATGAAAACCCTCTCCGGCGCACTTTTGGCTCACGAAAGTGCGCGGGGGAGGGTTTTTGTGGCTCAGGGGACAGAGGGGATCCAGGTTCTATAGTCTATGGCTATAGGTCTATCCTGCCTCTCCATTTTTGATTGCCACTGACACACCAAAGAGGCTATTGCCTAGTTTCGGCCTAATGATTGCCACTCACACACCAAAGAGGCCATTGCCTCGTTTCGGCCCAATGATTGCCACTCACACACCAAAGAGGCCAGCGCCTCGTTTCGGCCCAATGGTTGCCACTCACGTAGCAAAGAGGCCATTGCCTCGTTTCGGCCCAATGATTGCCACTCACGCACCAAAGAGGCCATTGCCTCGTTTCGGCCCAATGAACTCACAGGTACAATTTACAGGATTTGCGACGTGATTTGCTACATGCCCCGTTCCATTTACAGGATTTGCGACGTGATTTGCTATATGCCCCGTTTCATTTACAGGATTTGCGCCGTGATTTCCTACATGCCTTTTCCCCTCCCATGCCCCCAGATATGTAGCTGACAGTCAAAGAGGCCATTGCCTGAAGTAAGGTTTGGGGTTTAGGGTTTAGGAACGGTAGAGCGAGGAGGTGCTGTAGGATTCAGGGCTAAGGGTCGGAGGGATTTCGGCATTTTTGATTCTGGGCGTTTAGGGTCTCCAACTACTGGGGTTGATGGGTGTAGCCTAAGTTCTCATAACCATCCAACCTAAACCCTGAACCCTAAACCCTAAACACTAAACCTTAAACCCTAAACCCCTAAACCCTGAACCCTGAACACTCCACTGTAGCCGGGCGAGGCAGCGTCTTAGCAGCCATGACAACGACCGCTGGGATGCGACTTGGCAACCTACTAGCCAGCGCAAGGTTTAGAGGTGTCGGGTTTCGGGTTTCAGGTTTAGGGCCGAGGGAAGTGAGCATTCTGTTTCCCATCCTTAACGTACACGGTTTAAGGCTTGGGCCTGGTTCTCGGGGTAGGTGCCCCTTTGGCGACGGCTCTTGGGAGGATCTTTGAGGAGAATTGATGGCATTGTGTTCGCCGGATTGTGTCTGCAACTTTTGCGTTGTTCGTCCCTCAGGCCTCCTGAGCCCTAACCCCATCGCTCTGCGACTTTTGGGGGGGGTGTGGTTGCAGAATTGCCCTCGCTCACACGCGAATCCTTCAACTCTGGCCCTATGATCACTTCTTGCTGACCGAACTACGATGAGTACAATGCCAGGCAGGTTGGACCCTAAACCCTAAACCCTAAACCCTCAACCCTAAACCCTCAACCCTAAACCCTAAACCCTAAAGCTTGGGCACTCCTAGCTCCCCAGTATATCATAAGGACGTCGTGAGAGTGCACAACTTGGGGATTGGGGTACTAGGATGCCCAGTAGTGCCCTTATTCCCTTTTGGTAGGTTTAGGTTCCCTTATAAACCCCTTTAAGCAAAAAAGGGCACCCTTTTTCATCCTAGGTTACTGGGCAACCTAGGGTAACCACATTGTCCATGGGAAAAGAGAGGTGGGTGCGTGTTTCACCCCCCCCCCCCCAACGTACAGCGATTTCGTCTAAAAAAAGCTTCGTAGCCTGAACCCTCAGCCCTAAGTCCTCGAAGTCCCCAAGCGCCGCTACACCTTATCCCCTCAGCCAGCCCTTCCGACATTTTTAGGGTTGAGGGCTGAGGGAATTTAGGGAGTTTGGGGAATTTAGGGTACAACCGCCTCCAACAGACCTGTAGAGGTAGAGGTGCGTCTCGATCGAGGCCTGTTGGGTTCGGAGGTCGAGGGTTTGGGGTTTAGGGTTTAGGGTTAGGGGGTTGGGGCCCCCGTTTTTGCGGCATCTGATCTGCCGACCGTTCGGTTTTTGCACGACTTTGGGCTTCGGTGTTCTACAGGGTTTGGGGGGTTTGGGGGTTTTAGGGTTTAGGGTTTAGGGCTTCGGGCTGCGGGCTTAGGGCTTAGGGTTGAGGGGTCGCTGAATGTGAGAGTGCTGGGAGAGTGCGATCTGCAGATGTTAGGAGGATCCTGCTCGATCGGCATGTGCCCTTAAGCCTTCAACCCGAAACCCCCTAATTAAACCCTAAACCCTGAACCCTGAACCCTGAACCCTGAACCCTGAACCCTGAACCCTGAACCCTGAACCCTGAACCCTAAGCTACCCAGGGTGGATTGAGGCAGAAATGTAGGGTTCCTTGCCTCAGATGACCCAGGGCTTCCCTGAGCATAGCTACAGGATCCAGTGCTTGAGGCTTTAAGAGTTGAAGGTTTTAGGGTTTTCTATTAGGGTTTAGGGATTAGGGTTTAGGGTTTTGGGTTTAGGGTTTAGGGTTTAGGGTTTTTGAGTTTAGGGGTTGAAGGGCTGAAGGGTTCAAGGGTGCGGGGTGCCCTGCAAGCCCCACCGTTCAAGCATTGCAGGCCTAAGAATCCTAACCCCTAAACCCTCATCCCTAACCCTAAACCTTAAACCCTAATCCCCAGCCCTAAACCCTAAACCCCAACATCTAAACCAAAAGGCCGACACTGAATAGGTGTGGTTGTCCAAGCATTGAGCACATAGGCCCTTCATCCTAAGATAAACAGTTCCTGACAAAATCCAAAGCCTCCTGGCCTAACTGCACATAAACCCTAAACCCTAAACCCAAAACCCAAAGCCCCAAGCCCTAAACCCTAAACCCTAAACCCTAAACCCTAAACCCTAAACCCTAAACCCTAAACCCTAAACCCTAAACCCTAAACCCTAAACCCTAAACCCTAAACCCTAAACCCTGCCTAGACCCTAAACCCTAAATCCTAACTTCTAAATTCCTCCAGGCATGGTAGAGATCAAGTCCATCCGCAGCGAAAATGTCATCGCCGTGCCGCGGAATCAGGCCTCTTTGGGTTTAGTGTGTAGGGTTCAGGGTTTAGGGTTTAGGGTTAAGCCCTAAACCCTAAACCCTAAACCCTAAACCCTAAACCCTAAACCCTAAACCCTAAACCCTAGACCCTAAACCCTAATCCCTAAACCCTAATCCCTAAACCCTAAACCCTAAACCCTAAACCCTAAACCCTAAGCCACCATCCCAACCCTCATCCTTCAGAATCCCCCGGGAAGCCGAGCTAAGGCTGCTGAGTGGCAGTTGGAGGAAGCCAGGTTTGGCGAGGAGCGCAAGCGGCGCGAGAAGGACCGAACCTAGGATGCCCAGTACTACCCTTGTTCCCTTTTTTTTTTTTGGGGGGGGGGGGGGGGGGGGGTGTAGGTTCCCTTATGAACCCCTTTAAGGAAAAAAGGGCACCCTTTTTAATCCTAGGATACTGGGCAACCTAGGAACAGCTCTCTCTCACACCTCTCTCCCTACATTTCTCTCCCTCTCTCTCTCGCTCTCCCTTTCTTGCCTTCCCTTCTTTCTCTCTTTCTTTTGTTGCTCTATCTGCCTCTTTTTGGTGTGTGTGTTTGTGTGTGTGCTCTAGGACCTGAGAGAAGAAGCGTTTTTGGGGGGTTGAAAGGGTGTCGGGGGGGTGGCTCGGGTTCTCGCCCTGCCCGTTCCGATCCCTGAATACTGAAATTGAAAATCCAAAACCCTACTGTAAGCCAACCACCTCCATCTACAAACCCTGAACCCTAAACCCTAAACCCTAAACACGGTTTAGGGCTTTCATGGGTCCAACTCTCTACGCAAGCCGGGGGTTTGGGACCTAGGATTTTTCATTTCAATACTTCGTGCTAGACTACGCCGATCAAGCCGACCATGTTTTTGATTCCTTCAGGGCAACCTGTCCGGGGAGCTGGGTCTAGCCACCTAGCTATCATGACAAGAGCCCCTGACTATTTGACCCTCTACTGGGGAGAGGAGGGGTAGGCACTCTATTCTCGATTATTAGTGCTCCAAGAGAGAGGATCCCTCATCGAATCCACACCCCTGCGGTTTAGTCAGAGATTTTGTTTCCAGGCTCACATGTGGGGGTTTACGAAAATAAGGGACCCCTAATATAGACCCCACATAGTAGGACTCCCTAAGAATAAGGACCCCAAGAAGGGTACCCCCCCCCCCCCCCCATTTTCGGAAACCCCCACATGTAGTACAACAGATCCCAAGTCACCACAGCCGTCTGGGCTTCGTGGCATGGCGACAGTCTGGCACATCGTTGGCGGACCAACCAGGAACACAATGCACAATGCGGTCAACACAACGGTTACTATACCATCTATGTATAAGGAAGAGAGCGGTCACCACAAACGTTGCTACACCATATGTATATGTGTAATATCTATGTTGGAATATGATCTGATATGGCATTATATGATAGACTATATATTTTTGTTATATTATATATCTTGCTATGTATATATATATATATAGATATATTAAATTCTAATATATTACATGATATTATTTTACATTATTTTGTTTCATCTTATCTTATGCTGCATTATGTTCTGCTATATTATGGTATATTATTCTATATGTTTTATGTTATATTATAGTATATACTTGTACATTACATATGTAAGATGCCCATGATCATCCCGCCACCTGCAACAGCATGGAGATGAGTTTCAGGAAAAGGAATGAGTTCATGAAAAGGAAACGCAGCGTTCTTGCTGCTGTGCAGCAGAACGGGTCACAACTGTCGAAGGTGCCTCGTTGCTTCAAGGATGACAAGGAAGTCGCGACACTGGCTGTGAGAAATACTGGAGGCGCACTTCAGTACGCAGCAAAGAGATTACGAGGTGACAAAGATGTTGTTCTGGCGGCCGTACAGCAATCCGGGGCAGCCCTTGCATATGCATCAGGCAATCTTAAGGCTGATAGAGATGTGGTTGAGGCTGCTGTAAAGAAAAGCGGCTGTGCGCTGAATCATGCATCTGATTGCATGAAAGAGGACAAGGATCTGGTCTTGGCTGCTGTGGCAAGTTCTGGCGGCGCCATCACTTATGCATCTGATGCATTACAACGTGATAAAGACGTCATCCTTGCAGCTGTGAAGGAGTCGATGTCCGCCCTTCGCAACCAGGCGGTAGCTCAGAGTGCCGACAAGGAGGTGATTCTGACGGCCATCGACATCCATGGCCGCGGGCTGCAGCATGCATCCAGGGAGCTGCAAGCGGACAAGGAGGTGGTTTTGGCGGCTGTGAGGCTAGATGGCTATGAGTTACAGTTCGCGGCGGAGGAACTGAGAGCTGACAAGGAAGTAGTGCTGGCTGCTGTGAGGCAAAGGGGCTTGGCGCTGGCCTATTGTGCCCCAGAGCTCTTGTCCGACAAGGAGGTGGTGCTCGCCGCCATGGCGCAGGACGGCTGGTATTTGTGCCACGTGCCCGTCGAAATGAGGGACAAGGAGGTCGTGCTGACGGCGATGGCATCGAGAGGCGACGCCCTTCACATGGCACCGGAAGCGTTGCGAGGGGACCGCGATGTGGTTTTGACAGCTGTGCGGCAACATGGCCTGGCACTGAAATCGGCGTCAGCGGAGCTTAGGTCTCACAGAGATGTGGTCCTAGCGGCAGTGATGCAGGATGGTCGGGCCCTGCGATATGCAGCCGCGGAGCTTCAATCAGACAAGGATGTCGTTCTTGAGGCTGGGAGACATTTGCCTTCAACCATGCCGCCGCAAATTCCTTTGTCGATGCTCTGTGGCGAAGGGTCCAGCCACTAGTGCAAGAATACTGGGTCTTCAGGGTAGCGAGTTTGAGTGGAGCGTCGTGCTTTGTCGTGGCTACAAGCCGCCAAGAAGTGTTTGGCATCCTGGTTGATGTAGCCACGATGTTGGACATTGAGTGGTACACTGGCTGTCACGATTCCTATGAAAAGTATCAGCTCTTGTGCGGCTCAACTTCAACACCCCTGCCACTTTTCAGAGCCAGCGCGATGTCGTGGGATCTGCCAGAGAGCAAAAAGGGTACGCTTCTTGACCTCACGCTCATTGTAAAAGTGTGAAGGCAGATGTGGGCGGCTCCACAACAGAGCCTGCCCTGGATTGAGTGCGAACTTGCGAAAATGGGGCGCTCAGGTTTCAGGGTTTAGACTGGAGAGGGCCTGTGCTCATGGTATTTACGTTCGGCTTTTCCAAGAGCTTGTTGCGTTCAGATGGGGTCGGGGGATTAGGGGGGGGCATATACGGGGCACTTCTTTCGACTCACTGGGTGGAGCGACTCTTGTGTCCTTGCATCGTGAAGTGTAGCCCGTGAACCTTGTAAGCCCGTAAGCCCCAAAAGCACCTAACGTAAACGGGCTTAGGGTTTTAGGGGTTTGGAGCCCTAAAGCTGAAAGAGCGTAGCCACTGCTCTACCGGCCAGGAAGACAAGCGCTGGAAGGAGGAGGAGGAGAAGTCCAAGCGCTTCAGCTCTGTGAGGACTGGCTTGGGGGGCACTGTAGGGTTTAGGGTTTCGGGTCTAGGGGTTTAGGGTTTAGGGTTTAGTGTTTAGGGTTTAGGGTTTAGGGTTTAGGGCTAGCATTCAGGAGGGGGGCTTGAAGGGCCTAAAGGGATTTACAGTTTGGGGCGAAAGGGCCTTGGGGGTTTGGGGTGTAACCCGGGTTTTTGAAGGTTCGTAGGCTCGGAGTTTTGCCCAAGGACTTCTGGCAGAAGTAGGGGGTTTAGGGGTCTAGCGGTTGAGGGGGTGAGGTTAGGGTACCCTATCGTTTCAAGCAAGGTTCCAAGGCTCTCTGTTGAGGACAGTCGGTATTTCGCAAGGGGGCTTGGGCCTTAGGGTCCTTTCTGACAGTCTACGCCATGAGAGCCTCACATACACCTTCTCTGAGACCCTAAACCCTAATAAACCCTCAACCCTCAACCCTAAACCCTAAACCCTGCTTGGGAACTGGTTGCAGGGTTTAGGGCGTGGGGTTCCACAAGCCCAGAGCGGGGCCTCAACCGATGACAGACGCTTTGTCCAAGACTTCCACAGTTGCGAGTCGGCGTGCAGGTACGTTTCCCCTAAATCCGCCTCTACCATCACCCTGGCAACCCCCGAGAGCGCAATGAAGACCTTGGTCCGTGCGTTCGACTAGGCCGATCCTTTGCCTAAACCTCAATGCCCCTAAAGGACTTCTACTTATTCAGGGTTTCGGGGGTTTTTTAAGTATATAGTTCCACAGGGACTAGCAGAGGGTTCTTCAGCTCCCTGTCCTCCGACAGGACCGGGGTCTGCGAGAGGACGATGAACGCCCAAGGCTTTCCCATCATGGACCCCACGGAAAAGCTGGAGGCGGTGGCAGAGGGCTTTAGGGGCTTCAGGGTTTCTGAGGGTCTTGAGGGTCTTGACGCTTTGGTGGTTTCGTTTTTCTGTTTATTGTATTTTTACGGAGCATATGTTTTGGGAGGAGGCACGTAGTAAACCTAAACTGGCAGCTACTGCAGCAGTTCTTGTTTAGGGTTTGGGGGGCCGACCGGCGAAGTTTAACTTTCAACAATCATGGTGCAACCCTAAACCCTAAACCCTAAACCCTAAACCCTAAACCCTAAACCCTAAACCCTAAACCCTAAACCCTAAACCCTAAACCCTAAACCCTAAACCCTAAACCCTAAACCCTAAACCCTAAACCCTAAACCCTAAACCCTAAACCCTAAACCCTAAACCCTAAACCCTAAACCCTAAACCCTAAACCCTAGCCTTGAAATAGAGCACCCTGGAGCCCCACACTGTGAAGCAAACCCACGGCCGAGAGCCCCAAACCCAAAACAACCTTCAACACCAAGCAAGGCCAGACGCTCCCAAACCCAAGTCCAGGTCATCCCTGAAGCCCTGAACACTAAACCCGAACCCCAAACTCCACAGTACGCAATGCCCTGATTCATTGATCGAAGGATGCAAGTGCGACCGTAACCCTATCTTCCTGCACCCGAACGACTAAACCCCACATCTTTTCGAGCCCCAAGTCCTACACCCTGAGCCCTAAACCCTAACCCTGAACCCGAAGACCTGGACACCATGCACCCTGGACCCTAAACCCTAAACCCTAAACCCTAAACCCCAAACCCCAAACCCTAAACCCTAAACCCTAAACCCTAAACCCCAAACCCTAAACCCTAAACCCTAAACCCTACTTTCTCTGAAAAGCCCAAGCCTGTGTGGAGGCAGAGATGAGCTGCCACCGGGTTGCAGAGTTCGTGCCGCTGTAGACCCCGAACCCGGGTTTAGGGTAATTATAGGGTTTAGGGTTTAGGGTTATTATAGGGTTTAGGGTTATTATAGGGTTTAGGGTTTAGGGTTTAGGGTTATCATAGGGTTTAGGGGTTTAGGGGAAACCCTGAACCCTAAACCCTGTGAACCCTAAACCCAAAGGGCTGTTGTGTCGATGCAGGCCTCCTCCGCTCCATGGAATGACCAACGAACTGCGAATCAGCGTTACAAAGGGCTTTTTGTTTTGCCTTGTGCCATGATAGCACAGAGTGCCTATGTGGAAGCAAAGTCTGCTGGGACAAGCGTAGATCTCACGTCAGCAACTTCAGCATTCAGAAGCTATCCTACTCAAGGCTCAGAAGTTCATGACGCACCCCCAAACCCTAAAGCATAAACCCTAAACCCCTGCGTGGGCCGCGGCTGTTGGAGCGGTGAAAACGCTGCACAGCCTTAACCCTCAACCGTAGTCTCCATACTGCCAGGTAGGTTTTTGTTGGGCGGTGTCGTGGTTTCCGAAGCAGCCGTTGCAAGTTTCCGAATCAGCCGTTCACCAGTTTCCGAATCAGCCGTTTGCCAGTTTCCGAATCATCCGTTTGCCAGTTTCCGAATGAGACGTTTGGCAGTTTCCGAATCAGCCGTTCGCCAGTTTCCGAAGCATCCGTTTCCTGGTTTCCGATTTTCCCGTTTTAGTTTCTGATTCAGCCGTCTTGGTTTCTGATTCAGCCGTCCTGGTTGCTGATACATGTCTGGTTTCTGATTTTTCCGCTTTGGTTTCTGACTGAGACTCAATTCAGCCGTTTTGGTTTCTGATTCGGCGAACCGAACCCCTGAACTCTGAGGCCCGAAGAGCTTCACCCCCCCAAATCTCGAGCTGAAAAGCCTCCGAAGCCTTTTAATGAAGCTGCAGCGCCAGGGTTTTGGGTCTCATGAGGAGGGTTGACGGCTACGACGGAATTCGCTGCCCGCCTCGCCCTATCTAGTATGGTCTTTGGGCACCTTGTCCCATACTCACCCGCAAGATCTAGACCTTCAGCTCGAAACCGTTAACTAAACCCTAAACCCTTAAGCACCTTAAACCCTTAAACCCTTAAGCCTTAAACCCTTCAACCCCTTAAACCCTTAAACCCTTAAACCCCTAAACCCTTAAACTCTTAAACCCTAAACCCCTTAAACCCTCAACGCGAAAGGCCCCCGAGACGCCTAGCCAAGGCCTGCCATTGGACCATGAAGCCTTGTCTTTGCTCCGCAGACTCCGGCCGACGGAGGCCCTGCATGTTCTTCAGCAGGCGGGCCGCCTCTCATGTTTGGGGTTTTGGGGTTTAGGATTCGGGGGTTAGGGTTTAGGGTTTAGGGTTTAGGGTTTAGGGTTTAGGGTTTAGGGTTTAGAGACAAACCAGAGCCATCGAGAGACACTCCATGCGGCATGGTCACTCGACTTAGGATGTCAAGAGAAGACGCGGCGTGATTCACAACAGCCCCCCCCCCCCCCCCCCCCCCAAGCTCGTCTTTGTTGCTCACCTGCTTGCCCGTGTGGGTAGATGTTCAAGTACGGATCCCAACAAGGCGCCTGAAAGTCAAGGCGCCTGAAAGTCTAGGACTGTTTGAGGACCCGGGTTTAGGGTTTAGGGTTTAGGGTTTAGGGTTTAGGGTTTAGGGTTTAGGGAAGCATCTCACGAAAAGCTTTAGGCCACCTTTCCCCTCGCTGAAGAAGCAGGTGAGCATCCAGGGCATCAACAACAACATGTCCAGCTACATCAAGATCAAGGCACGTAGCTTCTACTTGAAACGCCCAACTCGAATCATTTTGTCATCCCTGACACCCGAAGCTCAGCCTTTACACGCTGAACCCTAAACCCTAAACCCCTAAGCCCTAAGCCCTAAACCTTGAACCTTAGGCCTGAGACCTTCAGCCCAGAACCCTGGGTGCTTGTTCAGGGTTTTGGGGTTTGGGGCTTATCTAGGGTCTAGCTCTGGAGTGTAGGTTTTTCGGGATGAATGAGGGAAAACAGCCCAAGGTAAGCCGCAAACCTGAACCTCCTAAGCCCTACCTACACCTGCAGTCTTTCGAAGCCCATGTAGTCACAGACCAACAAAAAGCCTTGACCTGCACCCCCTGTCTTCTTCTTTCATACCAGGTTCGATCCAAGTTGGGCGATCCGGACAACACGGATGAGGCTCTGCGGCGGAAATGATATGCAGCAGACTCGGCGGTTCAGGGACAGGCGATCAGACCTATGCACCCCATAAAACCCAAAAGTAAATCCGACAAATCCATCCCTTTATACCTTCAAGCCCTATAACCTTACAAGCCCTATGAGCAGACAATGCCTACAAACCAGTTCGCGCTGCAACACCCAAAAAAGCTCCCACAAAGGCCGCAAGAAGCCTATCAATCCTCGAGGCTCCTAGAAGCCCAAAGCCCTAAAACCTTAAACCCCAATGATTATCCTAAACCCTTACAGCACTACAGCCCTAAACCCTGCAACAAAAAACCTAAAGCCCTAGAACCCTGAAGCCCTAAAACCCTAAACCCTAGACCCTAAACCCCCTAAACCCCCCTAAAACCCTAAAACCATAAATCCCTAAAGCCCTAAAGCCCTAAAACCCTAAAACCCTAAAACCCTAGAACCCTAGAACCCTAGAACCCTAGAAAACTAGAACCCTAGAACCCTAGAACCCTAAACCCCTAACCCCCTAAACCCCTAAACCCCTAAACCCCTAAACCCCTAAACCCCTAAACCCCGAAACCCCCGAAGCCCCCGAACCCCCAAACCCCCAAACCCCCAAACCCTAAACCCTAAACCCTAAACCCTAAACCCTAAACCCTAAACCCCAACTCCTACTTAAAATCCCATAATCCTAAAACCATCGGTGCAGGACCCAAAGATGCCACAGCCCGTCCCGGCCAAGCCCGCGCCAGCACCGGCCAAGACACCGGCGACCCAGGCCCGCGCTTTTGGGGGGGGTTTAGGGTTTAGGGTTTAGGGTTTAGGGTTTAGGGTTTAGGGTTTAGGGTTTAGGGTTTAGGGTTTAGGGTTTAGGGTTTAGGAATTGGTCTCCGGCATTGGGGGTTTAGGATGGGGAATTGAGGGTGAGCGGTCTGCTGAAGTTGGGTGGCACTTTGGTGCTTAGGGCTTTTGTCGTGATTAGGTCGAGGGCTTAGGACCATTTAACTCGAAACATATGTTTCGCCTATACACACATATATATATATATATGTATGTACATATAACAATATGTATATAACTGTATATACGTATCTATATCTCAGTAAGCATGAGCAACTTTTCGTGGAGCGTACGAGCAAACAGTTTCACATACATAAGAACCATGCATACACATACTTGGACAATAACATATAATGTACACGATACATAACTCTGGATATAGGCCGAAAACCCTAAACCCCAAACCCCAAACCCCAAACCCTAAACCCTAAACCCTAAACCCTAAACCCTAAACCCTAAACCCTAAACCCTAAACCCTAAACCCCAAACCCTAAACCCTAAACCCTAAACCCTAAACCCTAAGCCCAAGCTGACAGAGGCAGAGAAGAAGGAGGACTCGCAGGCGCCGCCCTCGGACAAGGCTCTGGAGAAGACGCCCATGGACGAGGCCGCCATGCATTCCTAAAAGGAGCTCTTTAGGACTTAGGTAGTTTGGAGGGTCTAGGGTTTAGGGTTTAGGGTTTAGGGTTTAGGGTTTAGGGTTTAGGGTTTAGGGTTTAGGGTTTAGGGTTCAGGGTTTGGGGTTTGGGGTTTGGGGTTTAATTAGGGGTTGTTGTGTTAGCGTTCAGGGGTTGAGGGTGGTTTACCGCTCAATGCACCGTGAGGGTCAGGGCTCAAGTGGAAGAATCCGTGTATATGCATCAGCATTGCATTATATGAGCCCTGGCCAAGCCTTAGGGTTTAGGGGCTCAAGGTTTGGGGTGTAGGGTAAGGGTCACCCTAAACCCTAAAACTCTTAATCCTAAACCCTGAACCCTGAACCCTGAACCCTGAACCCTGAACCCCTAACCTTCTGCCCCAAGCCCCTGCAAAGCCCGGCCGGATGCGAGGAGCCGAGCGAGGACGACTCGGAGGATGAGGATTTCGTTCCCTGGCTGCTGGTGCGGGCGAAGTCCGACGGTTTTAGGGTTTAGGGTTTAGGGGTTAGGGCTTAGGGCTTATATCTAGGGCTTAGGGTTTGGGGTTGAGGGTTTCAAACTTAGGGTTTTGATTCAAGTTTTCGCTGTTGAAGTCTGCGGCGCAGGAGGCAACACAGATACCCAGACTTGATTCCGGAAGTTCCGAGTTTGTGTAAGTCCCTCAGACCTCATACGCAGCTGCCTTGGGGCCTTGACCCTGAACCGTCGACATGGCAAGAGCAGCCTGAGCTAAGGCTCAGCATTTTTAGAATTTCGCGTGTGGGGCTCAGGGCGACCCTAAACCCTAAACCCCAAACCCTAAACCCTAAACCCTAAACCCTAAACCCTAAACCCTAAACCCTAAACCCTAAACCCTAAACCCTAAACCCTAAACCCTAAACCCTAAACCCTAAACCCTAAACCCTCCCAACTCTCTGAGGATCTGCTTCCCGAAGAGAAGGACCCGACGCTCGACGCAGGATACGTCGAGGCCAGACGCTCAGTTCCCTATGTTGCCCATACGGCCTCTATTGTACCAAGATCCCTCGAAAAAGGGGCTAAACCCTTAAAGCACCCTTCAAAAACCAGAAAAATCCTGAAGAACCCCTTAAACAACCAAAACCCCACAAAGCTCGAAACCCTAAAAGACCCCAAACCCTAAAGAGCTCAAACCTCAAACCCTAAGCTTCAAACCCTAAACCCTCAGCACAAGCCGTAAACGCCCGGACCTGCACTCGTGTCGAACTTAGGCCTTAGGCCCTAGGCAGCGAAAGCCGTGAATCGTTGGGTACGCGGGGCGGTGAGCCTACGCTTTGGGAGGTTTGGGGTTTTAAACCCTGAACCCTAAACTAAACCCTAAACCCTAAACCTTAAACCCTAAACCCTAAACCCTAAACCCTAAACCCTAGGGTGGTTGCCGGGTTTTATGGTTTTGGGGCTCCGAGCATTTTGCCGGCCTCGGTTGGGATGCTGCAGGCGGAGCCTACGGAGAAGCAGCTCGAGGCCGAGCCATCAGGGTTTAGGGTTTAGGGTTTAGGGTGTGGGGTTTAGGGTTTAGGGTTTGGGGTTTAGGGTTTAGAGTCTGGGGTTTGGGGTCTAGGGTTTAGGGCTGGGGACCTGTAGGCTCTGCAAGCTGTGCAAGCCCTGGACCCTAGACCCCAGGACTTGCATCAGCCCATATATGAGGCCTACGAGAAGCTCTAAACCCACAAGGCCCAACAGGCAACCCTGTTGCTCCTAGACAAGTGCCTGAACCCCCAAAATGAGTCCTAGGCCCCAAGCCCTATAAGACCTATACTATACCCCCAAACCTTTCAGCCCATGACCTGAGATCCTTAACCCTAAACCCCAGGCCCCTGGACCCTGGGGCCGTAGAGCCCTAAACCCCCTAAACCCCTAAACCCTAAACCCCGAACCCCCCAAAACCCCCCAAACCCCCAAGCCCCCTAAACCCCTAACTTGAGATCCTACAAACAGCCGGCAGGCCCTGGCAAAGTGGAGGGAAGAAGCGCCTCGCGGCAGCGACTCCGGGGGCAGGGGCTTAAGGGGGGAGGACATTCTGGGTTGAGGGTTTAGGGTTTAGGGTTTAGAGTTTTAGGGTTTAGGGTGTACAGTTTTTGGGTGAAGTGCTTCAAGGGGCTGAGGGGGTTTGGGTATTTTTGGGGTTTAGGGTTAAGGGTTAAGGGTTTAGGGTTTAGGGTTTAGGGTTTTGAGGGTTGAGTGTTGAGGCTTGAGGGTTTGGCCAGGGTTTAGCACAGGGGCTTTAGGGGCTTTACGGCCTTAAGGGCCGGGGGGAGGGAGGGGGGGGGGCGGGGTGGGGGTGTTAGGGGGTTGTGGGGTTAGGGTTTAGTAGGGTTTCGGCCCCCCAAGGGCAACAACCCTAAGCCCTAAAGCCCACGCACTTAAGTTGTTTTACCCACAAAGCCCTAAAGCTTCTACGCCTGCACATATATATATATATATAATGTATATAATATGTTGATCAGTGTTTTTAGTTTTCGTTTCATGTAAATACACAAAACGTATATTCACTAACCAATATCAAGAGTTGCAATCATACTACAGTAGTGTCAGTCTATTGGGTTCTATACCATTTGATAAGTAGACTATTGAACTGTTTACTAGGGTTGATTTGTTTATACACTTGAGTGAGTCATGTAACATGACAAACCTCAGCCCAAATCTAAGCGCCAAGCTTCTACCCTCAGGCCCCTAAACCCTGAGCCCCAACTGCGAGAGGGTTTAGGGTTTGGGGGTTGGGGTTTGGGGTTTAGGGTTTAGGGTTTAGGGTCAGTCCCAGATCAAGGTACACAGAGGTGGTGGACGGTGGCGGGGGCTCGGCTCTCATCCTCGCGAAGCGAGGCGCGCCGTGGTCCTCGTCATACTTAGAGACTGGGATGTTCCCCTCTTACACAAAATAGGGTTTGGGGTTTAGGGTTTAGGGTTTAGGGTTTGTTGCGGTTTAGTCAGGGTTTAGGGTTTTGGGTTTTGGGTTTGGGGTTTTGGGTTAGGTTGGGATGTTCCCCCTTACGCTAACAGTCCTTTAAAAGGGAGTGTCATAGGGGGGGGTACTAGAATCCCCATGAAGTACAAGGACTGTTAGTATAAGGGGGACCATGCCAACTTGTAGAGAGTCTCAGAGTTTTTCATTTTCGGCTCCCTTGCTGTTCTTGCTTGGTCGTGTTTCGCCGTGGCGTCTGGCTGAGAAGTGTTGAGGGCTTTGTTTGGACTTGTGATGGGCCGATGACCCGCGCCCTCAAACCTAAGCCACGCAAGAAGCCCCGACACCTTCAAACAAAGCCCGCACCCTCCCCCCCCCCCCGCCCCCCCTAAACCCTAAATCCTAAACCCTAAACCCTAAACCTAAACCCTAAATCCTAGACCCTAAACCCTAAGCCCTAAACCCTAAACCCTAAACCCGAGTCCAGGCGAGCTGCTTCTCAAGGAGAGGCGCCCCCTCGCGGCCATCAAGGCCACCAAAGAGGGTATAGAGTTTAGGGTTTAGGGTTTAGGGTTTAAGGGTTTAGGGTTTGGGGTTTAGGGTTGAGGGTTTAGGGTTTGGGGTTTAGGGTTTGGGGTTTAGGGATCTGGGCTTACTAAATCAGCTGCAGGGTTCTGGCTTTCGAGTTTCGGCTCAGAGCTTTCGGTGTGGGGGCCCAAGAGAAGGAACCCCGAACAAGAAGGACCCCAAATAGTAGGATCCCCTGGGCCTAAGGACCCCAAATGGTAGGATCCCCCAATAGTCAGGATCCCTAGTATAGTCCCCCCCGAAATAGTAGGATCCCCGAAAAAAAGGACCGCAATGAGGTGCCCCCTAACTTCGGAAATCCCCATGTGTGTCTGTGTGTCTCTGTCTCTGTGTGTGTGTGTGTATGTGTCCTTTGCTCTTTTGTTCTACGAAGAGACAGTCGCCGCAAGTCCCCCTCAAAACCCCCCTAACCCCTACAAGTGCCTAAGCCTCTGACCCCCAAACTCCGAAAGAACTCGAACCCCCCTGAAGCCGACACCCTGAACGCACCCGTAAAGCCCTAACAACCGCAAATCCCTGCACCTTGAACACTAAACCCTAAACCCTAAACCCTAAACCCTAAACGATAAACCCCTAACTGAACCTGAACCCCTAGACGTAAAGCTCCCAAAAGGACTGTGGGGCTGCCTTGGCGCTCAACTCCGACCTGGGGAAGGCTTGTCAGAGCCATGTTGGGGAAGGGTTTAGGGTTTAGGGCTTAGGGTTTAGGGTTTAGGGTTTAGGGTTTAGGGTTTAGGGATTAGGGTTTAGGGTTTAGGGTTTGGGGCTTAGGTTTCAAGATTTAAGGTGTAGGGCTGGAAAAGGGTGGATTTTGAGGGGCTCTGGGGGGATTTGAGGGGTTTCTTAGAGGGCTTAGTTGGGGGTTTAAGGGGGGGAAGGTTCTGTTGGGATCTTAGGGGTGTGGCTCTGGGGTGGTGAGAGTTGCTGTGGTTAGATTTGGGGTTCGGTTTTTGTTTTGGGGTTTTGGGCTGAGGGCTTCATGGGTTCGGGTGTTGACATAGTACCACATCCATCAAAACCTAGTTCTTCACACATATTCACACACACACACACAGAGCTTCCGATGAAAAACTCTCCTAGCAAGGCACCCAAGTGATGTCAAGATGTGCGAGGCAAACTCCAAAAGCCAGCTCGACACCTCAAAACCCCAAGCCCTGAGGGTTTTGGTTTTAAGTTAGGGCCTACTATAGTTTACTGAACCTCTAAAGCAGGGGGGTCTAATTTAGGGTTCAACTCAGGGAATACTGAACCTTTAACGTACAGCCTTAGCGCCCAAACCCCAACCCCTAAACCCCAAACCCTAAACCCTAAACCCTAAATCCTAAAACCCTAAAACCCTAAAACCTAAAAACCCTAAAACCCTTAAACCCTTAAACCCTTAAACCCTTAAACCCTGAAACCCTTAAACCCTTAAGCCCTTAAACCCCTTAACCCCTAAACCCCTAAACCCCCCAAACCCCTAAACCCAGGCGTACCGCGTGCGCGGAATTGCCCTTCGCAAACTGGGCCGGTATCGCGAGGCCAAAGCCGACCTGGATCAGGCAGCGACGCCTTGAAGCTGCTAGCCCTCCATGCACCGGTTTAGGGTTTAGGGTTTAGGGTTTAGGATTTAGGGTTTAGGGTTTAGGGTTTAGGGTTTAGGGTTTATCAGGGGCAAACAGGCCACATAAACCCCCTCAATCAGTGCCCTCCTGTATGCCTGCAGTGATAGTGCGCAAGTCCTCGCTATTCTCCTAATTGCAAGAGCATCCCGAATCCTACTTGGTCAGAGCTTATTTGTATTCAACGTTGCGAAGGGCGTCTTGGATGCCCACGAGATCGTTATGTGAAAAATTCCTTACCCGTCCAATTTCTTCCCTAGTTTGGGCTCCTTCACTCGAATCATCCCTTGAAGTGGTTCAGTAGGGTTTAGGGTTTAGGGTTTAGGGTATAGGTTTTAGAGTTTCTACGGTCTATGGTTAAGGGCCACCACTGCACTCCCCCACGCGAATCGCCTGAATGTGGTCTAGGAAATATAGGGTTGCAGAGTTGCTAGAATCGAATCCCCTGCAGTGGTTCAGGAGATTTTCCGTGTTAAGTGTCTAGGGATTCAAGGGTGTAAAATTTTAGGGCACCGAAGCAGCAGTCCTTGGAGGCCCATTCGTTAAGTTGTACTTGTAGGTTGGCGCAATCCCAAACCCATGCTTTGGAACCCTACTTAGCGCGAGAAACCACGGCAACAAAGCACACCCACCCAGAGCCTGTAGCGCATCTGTGTCAAAGCCTTGCGGCCCGAGCACAGCCTAACCCCCCAGTCCCTGAACCCCAACTCTGAAGCCTAGAGTTTAAGGGTTTAGGGTTTAGGGTTTGGGTTCAGGGTTTAGGGTCTAAGAAGACCTTAGAACCATTAAGCCTGCTCGACCCTTGCAAGGCGCAGAAGCTGGACTTTGACGAAGGCGTGAGCATTATTGAAAAGTTCGTCACAGAGAAGGCCGGGATCTCAGCGGTGTTCGGCCCCGGTCGGTGGATACCAGGACTATTATGCCCCAGAACCCCCTTAAAAAGGCCCCTTTATAGGGTTGATGATGGGGATTGTAGGGCCGAATAGCCCATCCTGGTAGGGATAGGGAGGCTGGGTGGGTGGGGGTTCGGGGGGGTGGGCGGAGGGGCTTGGGGACATGGTTTTCGGGGTTTGGGTTTGGGTTTTGTGTGTGTGTGTGTGTGTTTTTTTTTTTTTTTGGGGGGGGGTCTTTGAAAGGCCAGTAGAAACCGTTTAGCACGGTTCGGCGAGAAGAAATCATCCCAAACCTTCTGATCTTTTGACTTGGCTCGCCCGTGGTCTCCTTACTCACGGGCTCTGCAGCCCCCCTTGCCTATCTATTTCATGTTCTGCCTTATAAATATTGCGATCAATCCCTAAACCCTAGACCCTAAACTCTAAACCCTACACCCTAAACCCCACACGCTAAACCCTAAACCCTAAGCCCCATAAGCGACCGAACACCCCCCCCCCCCTTTCTTTAAGGTGCGCCTTGAAGAGAAGCGAGGCGCCAGGAAAAGGCAGGGGGCCGTCTTTCAAGCAGCGTGTAGCTTTACACCCTAGTACAGTCTTTAGGGCATCTAGGGCTGTGGGGGCTCAAGATTCACAAGGCTGTAGGGTTCCCAGGCTAAAAGGTCCAAGATTTAGGGTTTAGGGTTTAGGGTTTAGGGTTTAGGGTCCAAGAAGCTGCAATTTCACCCCAAAAGTTCAAACAATGCGGCTGGGGGGTTCAGGGAGGGGTTTAAGGTTTCGGGTTCGCAGACCACGGGCCTCTTTTTAAGTCCTATGCAGTCCTCCGAAAATTACTCAGTAGGGTTTGTAGGGTTTAGGGTGTAGGGTTTAGGGTGTAGGGTTTATAAGGTTTAGCGTTTAGGGTTTAGGGCTTACGGCTTTAGTAGTGAAACTTGGTAGCTACATGGTGCTGCCACGATGCCAAAAAACGAGCACCCCTCCAAAATCAATTTTGACAAACAGTAGCCTAAGCCCGAAACCCTAAGACCCTAAGACCCTAACACCCTAAGACCCTAAGACCCTAAGACCCCAAGACCCTAACACCCTAACACCCTAACACCCTAACACCCTAACACCCTAAGACCCTAACACCCTAAGACCCTAGACCCTAAACCCTAAACCCTAAACCCTAAACCCTAAACCCTAAACCCTAAACCCTAAACCCTAAACCCTAAACCCTAAACCCTAAACCCTAAACCCTAAGCTAAGGCTTGAGGCTCGGAGCTGGTGGCTTTTGGGTCTTAGGGTTTTTGCTGGGTGCTGTGGTTCTGAGTGCTAGGATGTGCATTGTGGCGTGTGAGGCAACAAGTCGTGCAAAATCCATTCTCCATAGGGTTTCGAGTTTAGGGTCTAGGTTGAGGGTTCAGCATTCATGCTCTAGTTCGTTCTAGTCAACCGGCTTTCCAAGGGTAAGAGATGGTTTAGGGTTAGGGTTCATGTGTATAGGGTTCAGCGTTTAGCAGGATAGTTCGGCTCTTTGGACGACGAAGCCCTTCTTGCAACCTTGTCGCCTCCGCAACACGCAGGCGGCGGTTGCAGTGAGAGCCTCCTGAAGCTTTCAGGACTTGAGCCCTAAACCCTAAAGCCTAAACCCCAAACCATGTAGCTCACATCTCCTCAGGCGCTGCGACCCCATGCCCATCCGACAGTGGTACCCTTTTCCCTGTTGTTGGTTCAAGGTTCCTTTGTAAAGTAACGAACCCAAAACATGGTAACCCTTATTCTAATATGGCTACTTGGGCCACCAAGTAGAGGGCCGGTGCCAGGTCCTTCCGCTTTCTGACTCTAGGGCTTTTAAACAGTACCACTCCAAAAGACATGCCTTTTGCAAAACCCGAAACCCTAAACCCTAAACCCTAAACCTCTCACCCATCAGCTTGCGGGTCTGAGGGTCGTTGAGGTCGAGGTCGGGCGTTTCGGTCGTTATTTCCGCGAGAGCGAAGCGGACCCACACGGAGCTGTGACGGCCTGCGGTTTCAAAGACCTCTGCTCAGGAATAAGGTCAGTAGGGTTTGTGGACACTAAACCCTTCACTGTCCTAATACATTACATAATGAGATAATCGTATATCATATAATGGGTCACATGGCATATAGTATCCCGACAACCAGGAGACCCTGAACCCCAGACCCGGGTGGATTTGATGGGCCGGTGTGCTCTTCTGGCTTACCCCCTAAATCTGAAACCCTAAACTCTAACCCTAAACCCTAAACCCGAAACCCTAAAACCCTAAAACCCTAAAACCCTAAAACCCTAAAACCCTAAACCCGCACCCCCTAAACCCTTTCGTTGCGCGGGTCTTGGGATGAAGGTTTTCGGGCCCTGGACTCGGGTACTCCAAACGGTTTGAACCTGCCTAGCCTTATGAGTCCTGAACTTTATCTATTATATATTCACATATATAATGCACACACACACACATATATATATATATAGGTTTTTGTATCTATATATGCATATATGTCTGTTGTCTGTTGTAGCAACTCTAGAACGTGACATGAGATATATGCTTGTATATATGATCGTAGACAATACAGCATGCATATATACAACAGAACATACAATACACTTTCTATACATAACCCCCCCTGAATTCCCCTAAACCCTGAACCCTAAGCCCTAAACCCTAAACCCTAAACCCTTGCCCCCAAAACGCCCTGAATCCTAAGCCCTGAAAAGACGAAACTCCGGCGGCCAGTCTCTCAGTGACGACGGCGACGCGGGTTACGGCCCGGGGGCGCCCCTGGCGCGGCCCACAGGCGCAAACCCAAGGGTTTGAAGGCCTCATAGGGTTGTCTGAGAGTTTAGGGTGTTGAGTTTGCTTAAGGATTGAAGGGCTGTTGGGGTTATGGGCCTAAGGTTACACAAGATTAGTTCCTACGGTTCGAGTTTTGGATGGCTAAGGTAGGCGTGGTTCAGGCTTAAGGCATTTAGAGTTTATGGCTTGCAGAGTGTAGGGCACAAGACACAAGAGTCGAAATAATTCAGGATCTAGGGGTTGAAGGGTTTGGGGTTGAAGGGTCTACATAGGGTTCCAGAAGTACATGTGTAAGGCTTCGGGGGTAGGCTGGTTACATTCCATGCAGGCTCTGGTGCGATCCCTTGAGACCGGCCTTTTTGTACCCGCCCGTTTCTAGGGTTCCTGGACCCTTTCCAGCCCATCATCACCCTGCCAAACCCACCCGCACTGATCTCCGTCCCTTCGCGTTTGCCGCCTCCACACCCTTGGGCGTGTGTGGCGCCATCTCCACATTTGGTGCTTACTGCCACTGTGCGGCGAGACGCCCAAACCCCAAACCCGAAACCCGAAACCCTGCACCCTAAACCCTAAACCCTGAACCCTAAATTCACCCATCCCTGTAGCTCGAAGGTCCTGAAGCCCCAACAGCCTCAAAACCACACAAATCTGAGCATTCCAAGACCCGATGTTGTCTTTCATTTGTAATTCAGGGTTTATGGGTCATCAGGAGTTTAAGGGGCATGGAGGGTTTTAGTTTAGAGTAACCATAGATTGGGTTGAGTTTTGCAGGATATTCCAGGGGCTGACCTTTCTTCAAAGGTCACATGATGTTGCTCAATCCTTAATCCTCAAAGGCTTGTGGAGAGTGACCTAAGCAATCCGCTGCGGCTGCTCCGTTTCAGTTGCATGTCTGGCCAGGCTACACATCTGCGCCGTCCCCTTTCGTGGTGCGGGAGCAGGCGGCTTTGTGGCTTACGAAGCATCTGGCTCGTTGTGGTTGGCGGGATGCTGGAGAGTATTTTGATGAGGCTAAGCACTCTCCGATATGGGCACCCGAAGTCCTCAACCCTAAGCCCTAAACCCTCCACTGTAATAACCCTAAACTCTTAACCCCAAACCTTGAGGCATGCTTCGTCACAGCGTGCGGCTCAAGCGTTCACGCGATGCGAACTCCGAGAGCCTTTAAACCCTAAATGCTAAACCCCTCAATCCCTAAACCCCAAACCCTTAACAGCCCTAAATTAGACCCTGAACCCTAAACTCTAAACCGCCACCGCTTCCCAACGCCAGCCGGTGGCGATGGAGGACGGGGGCTGGGTTTTACCCTTGCCCCTAGAAATTTCCACTTTAACATGGTGAAAGTTTGACTGCCTTTTGAGCACGGCTTTGTGTGGCGCACGCTATAGATAATCCTGTGAAGGCTTGGGATCTTGCTTCGGGCTCGGGGTTTAGCGCAGGATGCTCCATGCATATCCGTGTACGCAGCTCTTGGCGCACTGGCCAGCATCTCAGCCTCCAAAGTGCCTGCGAAGTTGGGGATGAGGGTATAGGGTCTAGGGTGTAGGGTTCAGGGTGGGTTGTGTCGAGGGCCAGTTTAGGGTTTAGGTGTTCGGGGGCGGGCGCCGTACCTGGGTTGCAGGCTCGAGTTTGTTTTTCTTTGGTTTTTTGCAGGGTGGGGCTGGTGAAGATGTGCGTATTCTATCCCTGTAGCCTGGGATGTTCCCCCTTATGCTAACAGATCTGAATCGAGATTATGAAAGGGGGTACTAGAATCCCTTTTACGGACAGTTAGTATAAGGGGGAACTTCCCAACCTGTAGCCCTAAATACCGCGAATTCAGAAGCCGCAAGGTTCGCTTCATGGGGCCGCAGCGGTGTACGGTAGGGGTTTAAGCTCCGCTGCCGGTGCAGACCTGCCATTGATTTTCACAACTAGCAAAGAACTTAGGCGATCATGTCGGATACGATTCATGTCTTAAACATGAGACTTAAGTTATGTGCCTGGCAGTTCTGGCCTTCGGTTTAGGTTTGTCCGTGAGCCGGTTTCGGTTCGAGCAGCATATGCTGGTTGCACCTTTGGCCTCCCGCTGCCCGACATGGAAGTCGACGAGGAGCAAAACAAGAAGCAGAAGACCGCTCCGCCGGACTCCATCAGAGTCTACGTGACTTGGCAGCCCAGTGGTGCCCTTTATATTTTTTTTTTTTTTTTGGGGGGGGGGGGGGGGGGGGTGTTCTGGGTTCCCTTGTAAAGTAACCGACCCAAAAAAGAGTGCCCTGATTATAATATGAACCCTCACCCTAAACCCTAAACTGGGCTAGCAAGGTGAAATGGTCCCAGGACACGGCCGAGCTTTTCCAGCACTTTCAGATCCCCTGGACGGAGCGGGAGCTGATGAACATCCCAAGCCCAAATGTGCCCATGTCCATCGATGCTTGCTAGTCCAGTGAGACGCTGTTGCCCTTTTTTGGTCCTAGGTTCCCTTATAAAAAAATAGCCAACCCCCCCAAAAAAAGGAGAAGATGGGTTCTTGGGCTACTAAGGATGACATGTCCTGTTGGATAGAGAGGCGCCTGGAGAGTCTTTATGACTACCTGTCTCAAGGTGCGGAGAAGCTCATGGTCCAGGTCCAGTGGATCAAGACCGTCCACAGTGACTTGGAAGCCCTGTGGTACCCTTTTCCCTTTTTTTGGCCTCACCCAACCCAAAAAAGGGGTGCCCTTATTATCATAAGGTTACCGGGCTACCAAGGTGACCAGGTGCTTCAGTGGACGGATCCCGCCCGCCAGCATCTGAACGATGAGGACACGGTCTTGGTCCAATGTCACTCGATCAGTGTTAGGGATCCTTTTTACTTTTTGGGTTATGGGCTTTCTTATATATGAACAAAAAGGATCCTTTTTTCTTCCTAGGGGAACAGGGATTAAGGTCAGGCGATGTTGGAGAGTCTGGCAAACGCGCCAGGCGGGCCCGGCTATAGCAAGAAGGACCTGAAGGCGATCTGGCACAACTATAAGAACTCTGAGTATTGCCCCTTTACGAACTCTCTGTTAAACTAATCGTTTCTTGGGCACCCTTTACTAACTCTCTGATAAACCAATATGTTGAGAGTATATGCTTTGGATGCTCTTTTTGGCTGCTTTGTTTCCTGTCTTGAAGGAGATCCGCAAGAACCTGCGATTCGGCTTGAGCGACCGTGTGCTGTGCAACTGCGGCCCACTTTGGCTCTCGGGGGGAATTGTTGGGAGTGCCGTCGAGTCAGAGGGCGAGCTTTTCCCCTATGTGGTCACTGTGCTGTTCAGTAGTATGTTTTTTGTTTTTTCCTTTGTTCCCCTGTGCGGTCACTAGGCTGTTCAGTAGTGTACCGCTTTGTCATTTTTGGGGTTTTGGGTTCCTTATATTAGGGAAGTAGCCCAAAAAAGTATGCATTTTTTCCCCTGGGTCACTGAAAACCTAAGGTCAAGACAGATCCGTTGCCAGGGCTTCCTTCCAGGACGGTGTTGTTACTGATGGCACGACGGGTTATGTTACCGAACCCTTTCTGTGCAACTTCGCTTTTGTTGATTCCACCGCTCGTACACCAAGACTACCCTAAACCCTAACCGCTGAACCCTAAACCCCAAACCCTAAACCCTGAACCCTAAACCCTAAACCCTCAACCCTAAACCACTCTATCATTTACACGAATAATGTTAATGACCCAGGACGATCTCGGTTCCAGGTGACAACGAGCATGTCTGCATCCAGGAGGCGAACGTCATGAAGCAAACGATCAGGGTTTGGGGTTTAGGGTTTTGGGTTTTGGGTTTTGGGTCTTGGGTTTTGGGTTTTGGGGGTGTGGCTTGGAAAGTCGGGAGTTGGGGGGGCCTGTAGCGTGATGCTCACAGTAGCCATGCTCATAGTACTTAATGACCACGGTATAAGTTATTTACTTCGAACATGCCCACCTTGCTCCTCGTTAAAGGAAAGAGCAAATAGGATGTTCAAACAAAGACACATTGATTCAAATACGCTTCCTTAGTTTTTGCTTGCAATTGGGGTTGGGCACTCCAGGGAGACTCTGGGGTTGGCACTCCAGGGAGTCTCTGGGGTTGGGCACTCCAGGGAAACTCTGGGGTTGCGCACTCCAGGGTTGGGCACTCCAGGGAGTCTCTGGGGTTGGGCACTCCAGGGAGTTTCTGGGGTTGAGCAGTCCAGGGAGTCTCTTGGGGTGGGCACTCCAGGGAGTCTCTGGTGTTGGGCACTCCAGGGAGGCTCTAGGAGTAGACCGGGCGAGGAAAAGAGTTCCGGGCGAGGAGACGATTTGAGTTTAAAGGTTAAAATCTAACAACCCCACACCAAGGTGGGGAAAAACATAAGACAGTAGCAGTGCACTTTGGGTCATCCCAGCTCTGTGGCTCTCGCCTGTGCCTGTCCCCTGGTGTGGTGGGCCTTTAACACCTTAAACCCGAAGCCCCCAAACCCAGCCAAACTCGAAGCCCCAAACCCTATCGGCCCCAAACCCTAAACCCTCCCTAAACCCTATAGGCCCCAGTCCCTGTAGGGTTTAGGGTTTAGGGTTTAGGGTTTAGGGTTTAGGAAGCCCTGGAGGTCTGCTTCAACCCCGTGTCAGAGTTGCACCTCATCAAAAGTGCAGCGGCCACTCGCGTGACGAGTTCCAGGCCCAACCTCCGCTTTGCCGAGGGCGACAAGGTGGCACCACTGCCATACTGTGCGGGGTTTAGGGTGCAGGGTGTAGGGTTTGTAGGGTTTAGGGTTCAGGGTTTAGGGTTTAGTCATTCATGTGGTTATGAGTGGGATCATGTCTCGGTTCTGGTCAAATCATTCGATGTTTCTACCCTACTTTTCCTATGTTAGCACCATAGTTGTTTATCACACCGTCGAGCATTTCTACACTGCCAAGCTTGGGCAGGTGGCCGTCCGCATAAAGAACTCCACACAGGATGGGCTCGAGCAGTGGATGTCTGGGATCGTCTCTACTGTGTGGCCCAGATTGCCCGGGGAGAGACAATGGAGTTTTGCGGGCATGTCCGGCGAATTCCCCCAGGAAGTGCCCTACAAGGTGGACCTTTCTCCGGGCCCGCCCAACTTCGTCTTCGTGCATTGGGACAACCACACCCTTATCCGCCGCGATGGCCTGCAGCCACAGGACAGGGTCAAGGGCATCAGCAAGCGCCTGGAGATACGCACATGCGAGGACGGCAGCGTGGAGCAGTTCGATCACCTTACAGAGCGTCATAAGCCAGTGCCCAGGAGGCCCATGGTCGATCCAAAGGACATGGAAGTCTCCGATTCCGATTCGGATTGAATTCAGTGCATAACAGCGCATACTGCTACACTGTTCTACAAGGTACAGTCACATGCCATACTGCGCTACTCTGATGCCTTCTTACATCCAACCGGGCCAGAGCAAGTCATCGAGGGGTGTGCATCTCATCCAGCCAAAGGGCTACACTAGTAGACTGTTGTGTATCAAAGCAGTCGACGGGGTGTCTTTCATTTGCAGCATCTGCATTGTGCTGTGTCGTAGTTGCAAAAGCGCGAAAACTCGGGTTAAAACCTGAAGGTCTCAGGACTAGGGGCCCCTTAGGGCTTAGAGGGGTTATGCAGGGCATGGCAGAACTTCGGCCGCGGGACCATTCCTGAATAGTTTGGAGACCTACCCATATTGCTACTGCTATTATCGTGGCTCTTCTTGCGAGGGGTTGGGCTGAGTCCAAAGTCTCAGACTTCAGGATTTTGGGGCTTCGTGTTTCAGGCTCTGGCATGCTTAGGATTAGGGTTTAGGGTTTAGGGTTTAGGGTTTAGGGTTCAGGGTTCAGGGTTTAGGGTTTAGGGTTTAGGGTTTAGGGTTTAGGGTTTAGGGTTTAGGGTTTAGGGTGGTTGAGGGACGTGCTGGAGGTCCGGGGCTGAGGCTCCCACCCAGGAGTAATTTCCCGCGAGCAGCTTGAAACTGCGTTAGTCAAGGGTGCGTTGGGCTTTCGCTTTTTTGGGGGTGTAGGTTCCCTTATAAACCCCTTTAAGCAAAAAAGGGCACCCTTTTTAATCCTAGGATACTGGGCAACCTAGTGGGGGAGTCTCGAGGGCCCGGTGGCAGCCGGGGCCTGTTGTTGAGGGTCGCTTTGGGGACCTTGACCTTAAACGCTAGTAAACCCAAACCCCAAACCCCAAACCCCAAACCCCGAACCCCAAACCCCAAACCCCAAACCCCAAACCCCAAACCCCAAACCCCAAGCCCCAAACCCTAAACCCTAAACCCTAAACCCTAAACTAGAGGGATCCGCGGAGAAAGCCAGCTTCAGCTGATGCTCAGGATGCTCGGCCCGTGGGCCGACCTAAAGCCGGAACTCTACCTGGAACTGGGGTTTAGGGTTTAGGGTTTAGGGTTCAGGGTTTAGGGTTCAGGGTTTAGGGTTTAGGGTTTAGGGTTTAGGGTTTAGGGTTTATTAGGGTTTAGGGTTTAGGGTTTGGGGCCCAGGCTTTGGGAGCTTAGCAGGGTTGAGGCTCTGAGGCTTGGGATCCCATATGCGAAGCCAACAGCCTAAGTGACCGCTCCCCCCAGAATAAGACGCAGACAGGGCATGAACCTCCTATAGTAGGCAGTGCTATGTTGCTGAGCCCTTGGGCACAAGCTTTGTTTTGAAATACATTTAGCCTGAATGATTTAGGCCCATGCTTATTGTTGCTCTTCTTCAATTTGTTATTGCTCTATATATATATATATGTGTATATATATATATACATGTATACATATACATTTTTTGGGACGTTGCAAGCTTCTTGGAAACCTACCCTGCTTCAAACCACCAGAATCGTGTCGCACAATTTAGGGGTTAAAGCTTACCGTACGCTTTCTGCCTTAAAACAGAGCCCGGAACCACCAGCGCTCAGGCTTTGGCTGGGCAGGTGCAAAGCCGCTGGTTGAGTCTTAGTGTCTGCAGGGCTGCGGGCTTCGGGATCGAGGATCAGCTGGGTTTGGGATTTTGGGGTTTGAGGGCAGCTTCGATCTCATGAGTTGCTTGGCTGTCGACTCATTATTATGGGGGAGGGGTGGCTTTCCCGTGGCCCTTTGCATCATCTCCTCGATGCCCTGGCATCCGAAACCGCCAGCCCGGTGAACAAAGTAGCCCTAAGCCTCAACCTCTTCCCCCCAAAACTTAAGTCTGCGCGCTTGCACATTTCGACAGGAGAACAGGGAGCCTCAAACCCTAAACCCCAAATCCCAAACGCCAAACCCTAAACCCTAAACCCCATCCCACCCTCCCCCCCCTCCCAACCTGAACCCAGACTGGTGCCAGGGTAGCTGCTGCTCCTGCGATTCCATGGGGCTTGACAGCTACGCAGCCGAATCTCGTGAGAGGGCGGCTATCGGTCAGTACTAAAGACGCAGGGTTTGTTCTCACAATTGTGGGATGGATCGAAGAAGCAGTCAATCCTAGCACTAGATGCCCAAACCCTAAACCTGGACTTAAAAGCCCGTCAGCTGTAGACGTTTGTCTAGGCTTACGTGGAAGTCGCAACTCAACTTTCAAGCAGGGGGTTGGGTTTGAGGGTTTGAGGTCTTCACTTCGAACCCCTGACAGATAGTAGGATCCCCTTTTAATAAGAGGGCCCCGATATGGTACCCCCTACTATCGTAAACCCCCCACATTTTCAGGGAATCGCGATGCAACGGGCAGCTACGGCCTCTAGCGGCCTCTCTTTCCACCGCCGTGGGGGTCCCAAGGTCTGGATCCTGCAGGCGATTTCCGAAGACGCCCATCTCGAAAGCTCAAGAAACAAGCGGGAGCCAGCAACCTAAACCCTGAGAAGCCTTGAGGGTCGAGACAACCTGCTGTGCTGCTACTTCTTCTTCAGCTGGACCTTTCGGATGTGTGAGTGTAAGTAAGTAAGTAAGTAAGTAAGTAAGTAAGTAAGTAAGTAAGTAAGTAAGTAAGTAAGTGTTCCTGTGTCCATGCGGCGGAATGAGTCCAACGTGCAAACAACGCGGCCTCCAAGGGTCAAGAACTTCCGCGGCTTCATAATTTAAGGCTCCTGGTGTCCCCTTATACTAACAGTCCTTGGTGGAGATTATCATAGGGGGGGGTACTATAATCCCTATGAAGGACTGTTAGTAGAAGGGGGGAACATCCCAAGTTATCCTAAACCCTAAACCCCAAACCCCAAACCCTAAACCCTAAACCGTGTTAGGAAGTATCAAGGGGGACCCCAAGCCTGGTGAGTCCTGCAGACTCTGCATGGGAGCATGCCGCTCCAACCCTGCCACTGTCTCACCCTGTTCGCTTTTGAGACACTCAAGCCCCTTAAAAACCTGAACCCTAGCCCTGAACCCTAAACCCTAAATACGAAACCCTAAACCCTGAACCCTAAACCCTAAACCCTAAACCCAAAACCCTAAACCCTACTATTAGCCCCAAGTGCAACCATGAGTCAGACCTGAGGGTTTCAGGACGTCCCAGATGTGCAAGCAGCTTCTGGTGGCACAGCAATGACAGCAATGAAGGGCTTGTCTAAATTCTGGCGGTTTAGGGTTTAGGGTTTAGGGTTTAGGGTTTAGGGTTTAGGGTTTAGGGTTTCGGGTTTAGGGTTGTTTAGGGTTTCGGGTATAGGGTTTATCGTTCAACATGTCCCCCTCCCCCCCATTTAAGGGGGGGGTTACAGTACCTAGAGTAGCCGCTGAACTAGGTCGCTTGCCCTCCAACATGCAGGTCGAGTACCTGGTCAAAACGCACCGCATCATAGATCCCAACATCGAAACCATTGACATCGAGTAGCCTCATAACTACCCAACTCCCTAAGTTCAACATGAAGGATCCTTCCATTCTGCTACACGCTGAACAACACCTTCACATGGTGAGCATTTTCAGGCTATCAATATGATAACACTAGCATCAGTACTATCCCGAATCTTGTTCATGTTACCATCTGATGGTGGTTTCAGGGGGTTGGCGGAAACCTCTGAGGCTTCAAGTTTAGGGGCTTAGGGTCGTGGGGCTTAGAGTGTATGTTAGGGCCAGCCCCGGGAATCAACAGCCGAGCCCTCTCCTTCTGATGCACAAAGGGCCCTGAACCCGAAACCCGAAACCCGAAACCCGATACCCCAAACCCCAAACCCCAAACCCCAAACCCCAAACCCCAAACCCCAAACCCTAAACCCCACAGGCCTTGGTCTGAATCCTTCGCGTGACAAAGAAGCCGCGGTTTTGCCAGGCGCGCGATGGAAACTGCCTCTTCCGCTCCTTCTCTGACCAGGCCCTGGCATGAGTTCAAGCTTCGGTTTTGTTTAGGGTTTAGCGTTTAGGGTTTAGGGCTTAGGGTTTAGGATTTGTTGTTGGTTGTTGGGTTTTGGTTTTAGTGTTTTGTTGATGGGATATAGGGTGTTTTGTTTTGTGAGGTGGGGGGGGGGGCGGATTTTGGGATTAGGGTGTAGGATGAGATGCAAGAGTGAGGAAGTTCAGAGCTTCGGGGTGTTGGGGGGGGGGGGGGGGGGGGGGGGGCTACCGCTTTTAAGAGCTCAGCTCTCACGGCCCGGCAAGTTGCCCGGTTCCTTTATGTAGTAGTGTTGCGGTCAGGAATCCTTGCACAAGAGCAACGCGTAAACGACGCAACGCATGAATTTGAAGCTGCACCTGGAAGGATGCATTGTTAAGCATCGTGGTGTGCAACCTCGCTTGCATGGCCCCCAACCCCCCCCCCCCTCCCCCAAGCCCTACAAACTTGAACCCTGCGTAAACTGTCCCCCCTAAACCCGAAACTCTAAACCCTAAGCCCTAAGCCCTAAACCCTAAACCCTTGCGAAATCTACCCTGAGTCACTGCCCTACATTCGGGCCGAGGTCGTATCTCCTACCCTTAAGTGTTTGTTTTTCTTTTTCTCTGACTCCGCAGGCGCCTTGAGCTCAGGCCAAACAAGCCCACAAGTAGTCCGCGTAGCTGGACCGCACAAACCCAGTCTCAAACTGGTAGCCCTAAACCCTAAACCCTACACGCACCCTAAGCCAACTTCTGCACCTGTGGGCCGCGGCTTGAGCCCTTGCCTTCCCTGGCCAGGTGTATGGCTGCCCTGACTACCATGCACTGCTGAGAGACAGGCGGCGGTTAGGCTTAGGGTTTAGGGTTTAGGGTTTACGGGGTAGGGGTTTGGGGGTTAGGGTTAATCTGGCTAGTTCTTGGTAGGGAATGAGGGAGTGAGCATACCCTATATAATCCGTTAAAGGGCATATTATAGGGGCCCTACTTCCCTCATTCCCTACAAAGAACCAAGGGGTAATGTACCCAGAGTCGGCCCTTTTTGTTCTTCTTCTTTTTGGTTTCAACAAGGGCAATCGTCTTTGAATAGGTCACTCTGGGTCCTATGCTTCAACTACCCAAAAGCCCCTAAACCCCAAAACTAGACTATGACGCTTGATTGGCAGGTGCACAAAGTACATCGCCAGCGAGCGAAGCTATTTCGAGCAGTTCGTGGCGGAGCCATTTGAAGAGCCTCGCTTACATGCTTGCATAGTCCCGTGTGTGCCCAAGGACTTCTTGAAGGCTGTCTGTAGGACATCCGGGCTAGACCCTGTAAACCTAGAACCCGAAACCCAGGGCTTTGGTTTCAAACGCTGAACTTCCATTCCCTAAGCTGCTTGAGGGCTGTGTTTGCGGCAGGCAGACCGCAACAGAAGCCTTCCGTCACCAGGGGCTCGGCTTCTTCCCAGCCCCCCCCATGCACCCGCATTCTCTCCAACAGCGTCCATAGCCACAACCTTAAGCCTCAGTTGAAGCCTATCAGCGAAGCTTGGATCATAATTCATGGAGACGATGCAGAGGTCTTTGGGGGTTTACGACAATAGGGGACCCAAAAATAGACCCCCAAGTAGTAGGATCCCCTTTTAAGAAGGACCCCCGAGAAGGCACCCCAACTTTCGGAAGCCCCCCCCCCCATTTCGTGCATCTAGCGTGATGTCCATAGCTGTTGAAGTGAGCCTCATCAGCGGCCGACAAGTCTCCGTGGAGATCGATCTGGATGCCTCCGTGGCAACATTGAAGCGCTGCGCGGAGAATGCGCTGGGCGTAGGGAAGGGTCGCCTCTTGAACTGCTCAGGGGATGTTCTCCACGACAGCGACACCGTCAAGAAAGCCAGGGTGCAGAGTGGGGACTCACTGACTTTACATCTGAGCAAGGTGCAAGTCTGTCGCACTGGCGCTGCTTTTGCTGCGGTTCTGGGCGATGGATCTGTTGTGACCTGGGGTTCTGACACCCACGGTGGAGACAGCAGTGCTGCGCAAGGCCAGCTGAAGAACGTGCGGCAGGTGCAAGCCACTTTGGGCGCGTGTGCTGCCATCCTGGGCGACGGATCTGTTGTGACCTGGGGTCATGCTGAGTCTGGAGGCAACAGCAGTGCAGTTCAGGAGCAGCTGAAACACGTTCAGCACATTCAATCTTCTGACAGCGCGTTTGCTGCAATAGTTGTGGACGGATCGGTTGTGACCTGGGGCAGTGCTAAAGACGGTGGCGACAGCAGTGCCGTGCAAGACCAGCTCAAGAACGTACAGCGGATTCAAGCCTCCGGAAGCGCATTTGCAGCGATCAAAGTTGACGGATCCGTCGTGACCTGGGGCCATGCCGGATTTGGTGGCGATAGCACAGCCGTTCGTGATCAATTGAAGAACGTGGACCAGATCCAGGTCGTGAAGCACGGAGACCATGCTGCTTTTGCGGCGATCCTGTGCGATGGATCCGTCGTGACCTGGGGTGGCGGCAGCTGTGCTGTGCAAGTTGAACTGGGCAGTGTGCAGAAGATTCAAGCATCGACGCATGCCTTTGCGGCGATCCGGGGCGATGGATCTGTCGTGACCTGGGGTACTCCTCTGCTTGGTGGCGACAGCCGTGATGTGCAAGATAAGTTGAAAGACGTGCAGCACATCCACGCCTCGCCCCATGTCTTTGCTGCAGTCCTTAGGGATGGATCGGTTGTGACCTGGGGCCACAACTCTACTGGTGGAGACAGCAGTGCCGTACAACATCAGCTGAAGCGCGTGGAACAGATCCAAAGCGCCACAATGGCAATTGCTGCGATCTTGGTCGATGGATCTGTCGTGTCCTGGGGCCATCCGAGCTTTGGAGGTGACAGTAGTGCTGTGCAAGATCAGCTGAAGAACGTGCACCAGATCCAGTCCAATTTGCGGGCTTTTGCTGCCATTCGGGGCGACGGATCCGTCGTGACCTGGGGCAGTTCGGGGGATGGTGGCGACAGCAGTGCCGTGCAAGACCAGCTGAAGGATGTGGAGCAGATTCAAGCCTCCGAACTCGCATCTTAGGGATACTTGGGAAACAAATTTCCATTTTGGCACTATAATTCCTAAGAAACCGCCAAACTGAACAATTTTGGGTACCATAATTCCTAAGAAACAGCCAAATTCAGCAATTTGTCCTAGGGTTCCAAGTTCAGTCTAGGCATTTGCTGCCATCCGAGCTGATGGATCCATTGTGACCTAGTAGATGAGTGAGCACACTTTTTGGGATACCATAATCCCCTATCGTGTACACTTTTTTGGGGGTTTATGAACTCAGCAACATAAACCCTAAACCCTAAACCCTAAACCCTAAACCCAGGTGACCTGGGGTCGAAAGGACAGTGGTGGCGATAGCACTGCTGTGCAGGATCAGCTGCGACCCTTGGCGACCTCTGAGCACCGAAAGGAGGGACAAGAAAACCCAGGTCGCTTTTGCTAGGGTTTAGGGGTTTCGAGTTTGGGGTTGAGGGTTTAGGGGTTCGGGTTTAGGGGTTTAGGGTTTTAGGGGTTTAGGGTTTTGGGTTTAGGGGTTTAGGGGTTTAGGGGTTTAGGGGTTTAGGGGTTTAGGGGTTTAGGGGTTTAGGGGTTTAGGGGCTTAGGGGCTTAGGGGTTTAGGGTTTAGGGGCTTGGGGTTCTCACTACACAATACTACTTTACTGCTGTCTACCCTGGCAGAATAGTCAAGAAAGCTCGCGTAGCCCGGTTAGTCTCTGCTTTAGCAGGTGGACCGGTGGAAACCCTCGGAATTGCAAAATAGTTGGGGTTTAGGGCTTAGGGTTCAGAGTTTAGGGTTCAGGGTTTAGGGTTTAGGGTTCAGGGTTCAGGGTTCAGGGTTTTGGGTTTAGTGGAAAAATGGTGATTTCGGGGCTGGGGCGGAGCTGCCAAATCCATCATCTATCATGAGTAGTATTAGCATTATCATCCTAGCATTCTACTTCTGCTTTAGCATTATCATTCTAGCATTCTACTTATTCTACTTATTTGTGATTATGACCATTATACTTTTTTGTGAGTATGCTGATGATTCTTTATTGTAGGCCACGGGCCAAGAGGACCAACAGAGGGTAAAGTTGGATCCCTATTTGGGGTGCTGTGAACAAAGGGTTCAGGGCTTAGGGTTGAAGCTTTAGGGTTCAGCACCGACTGCCACGCGGCAGGTTCCTGGCACGAATACAGCGCGAGGGCGAGTGGGGGGATGACGTGGAGATTGAGGCGCGAGCACGTACGTTTCGACCCTTGAAATTTGCACCTGACCCCCGAAACAGTAACCCTAAACCTTAAACCCTAAACCCAAAGCCCTAAACCCCTAAACCCGCAGTGGTGCTTTTGGGAACATAAGCTTCTCGCTGCCCGAAGCCTGTGAGCCAACAGAGCTTGCAGCTACCAGAGGGTTTCGTCTGGCTCTGCGCGCCCCTCAGAAGTAGGAGCGCTTCCAGCGGTTCAGCTGAGTGGAGCTTTGCCTCGGCCCCCACCAGGCCCTGAACCCCTAAACCCTGAACCCTGAACCCTGAACCCTAAACCCTAAACCCTAAATCCCAATCCCCAAACTCTAAACCCTAAACCCTAAACCCTAAACCCTAAACCCTGCTCTCGGAGCTTCAGAGAGCTTGGCAGGTGAGGTGGGTGTTCTGCGGCACAGGCTTTCGGGGTTAAGCGCTGAGGGCTGCAGGGTGCAGAGATCTGGGGTTGAGAGGGTTTAGGGTTTAGGCTTCAGGCCGACCATTGAAGTCATGAAGCTTCTGCTGATGCGCAGGCGCTGTCGGAGATATACGATTGCCGAGCTGCCCTCTCAGAGATATGGGAGGGGGGGTGGGGCGGCTGGGGAACACGGTCTGAACCCTAAACCCTAAACCCTAAAGCCTAAAGCCTAAACCCTAAAGCCTAAACCCTCTAACCCTAAACCCTATAACCCTAAACCCCACACCCTGAAGACCTTGTGGCTAAGCCTTGGTGCTAGGGTGCTACGCAGGGGTGTTGGGGGAGCGGAGCCGTGGACCCTAAGCCCTGAACCCTGAACCCTAAACCCGGCGTTTGCCTGCAAACCCTGAACCCGAAACCCTAAACCCTAAACCCTAAACCCTAAACCCTAAACCCTAAACGCGCGAAGGTGGAGATCTATGCCTCGTACGGTCATTCGTCTCGGCCTCAGCGTTGTGCCAAAAAACACTTAACCCACTGCCTCGGCTTTTTCTGGTTTCTATCGTCAGAATTTGGGGTTTAGGGTTTAGGGTTTAGGGATTAGGGTTTAGGGTTTAGGGTTTAGGGGTTCTGGTGCTCATGGATCAGTTTCGTGTTTATAATGGCGCGCGACTTAGATTGAACGTCGTAGGGTTTATCGTTTTAGGGCTTTTGGCAGAAGCATCACGTCGCCAAGGCTCAGGAGCGGTTCACCACGAGCCCTAAACGGCCCTAAACTCTGAACCCGAAACTTAGGGATACTTGGGAATATTTTGAACTTTTGGGTACGATAGTTCCCAAGAGACAGCTAAGATTACGATTTTTGCTAGGGCTCCAAGTTCAGTCAAGTAGACGGTTGGTGTTTGAGGTGTGAGCTTTTAGCTCTTGGGGTTTGTCTCAAAGCTCAGGCATGATAGGCTGAACCTTGGTGAGACACTCCCACTGCCACCCCTTAAGCACAATCTGGCTGAACATATTGCTTGCTGTCTCTTGTGATCACTCATAGTATAAGGGGGAACATCCCAATCGCTATGCATGCAAACCAGGGGGGTCGGTGGGTGCCTGGCGTGTGCTCAACCCCTTACATACTGTAAACCCCAGAGCCTACGACATCAGCCCTAAACCCGAAGCACTTAAGCCCTAAACCTAAACCCTAAACCCTAAACCCTAAACCCTAAACCCCAAACCCTAAACCCTAAACCCTAAACCCTGCTGCCTCAACCTTGATGAGGCTGATGAGGACGTTCCATGAGGCGTGTGACGCCAAGTGGCCTCAACCTGTCAGGCCGCCCTCATGGCCCATGCACGAGCTTCGTAAGTCCCAAAACCCTAAAGCCTAGGGTTTAGGGTTTAGGGTTTAGGGTTTAGGGTTTAGGGTTTAGGGTTTAGGGTTTCGGGTAACCCTTCATGCCCGAAAAGCCCTAAGCCCTACGACGATCAAAGGGTAGGGTGTAGGGCTTGGGGTTTATGTTGTTGGGACCCTCTTTGGAGCACCGCTGTTTTTTTAAATGAGACCCGGCTAAAGTTATCACAAGGGGCTCGAGCAACCCCCTCCCCTAAACCCTAAACCCTAAACCCTAAACCCTAAACCCTAAACCCTAAACCCTATAAACCTTATAACTTATAAACTCTGTAAACTCTGTAAACTCTAAACCCTTTAAACCCTAAACCCTATAAACCCTAAACCCTACACTCTACCCGAGCGCAACCAGTGTTTTTGAAAAGAAGGAGAGGGTGCTAAAGTTGAAGTTGCGGGCAGGCGGCTTGGGCATGTGATGGCATTTCCGCGAGCACTTCAAGAGGCAAACTCGCAGCCCTAAACCCTTAGCCCTTAACCCTGAAACCCTAAACCCTAAACCCTAGCCCTAAACCCTACTCCTCAGCCCACACGCGGCTCAGCCCCAAGCGCTAAACCCTGAACCTTGAGCCCGATTCAACCCATGCCCTGAACCCTAAAAGCCCTAAACCCTATGCCCGAAAATCCTCAATCCCTAGAACCCTAAAGCCTCTCAAAACCCTCGAACCCTGAAACCCCAAAACCCTAAAAGCCGTCAAACCCTCAAACCCTAAACCCTACAACCCTAAAACCCACAACCCCTAAAACCCTAAAACCCTAAAACCTAAAACCCTAAAACCCTAAAACCCTAAAACCCTGAAACCCTGAAACCCCTCAAAGCCACCAACTGGAAGGCTCCTCTACGAGGGCCATGCGCACTACAACTCCCTGGCCCCTCGGAGCGCCATGGGCCGCAATGTGAATGCGTTTGGGGTTTGGCGTTTAGGGTTTGGGCTTTAGGGTTTAGGGTTTCGGGTTTAGCGTTTAGGGTTTAAGGTTTGGGGTTTAGAGTTTCGGGTTTGGGGTTTAGGGTTTGGGGTTTAGGGGGTGGGGGCGGGACAGGGAAGGTTGCAATCCTCAATGGGCGGCACATTCCGCAGACTCCTGCTGTTATCAGGAAATCTTGGCTGTGGGTGGGTTGCCAACCTCCTTTGCCCACCACTTCATTGCCCTACACCCTAAACCCTAAACCCGAAACCCTAAACCCTAAACCCCAAACCCTAAACCCTAAACCCTAAACCCTAAACCCTAAACTCTAAACCCTAAACCCTAAACCCTAAACCCTAAACCCTAAACCCTAAACCTTTCAGAATCCCAGATCCAAGGCGGCCTCTGCCCAATTGCGCAGCAGCTGCGGCCGGGGGAGATTGAGGAGCCCTTCGGGGTTAAGAGTTTAATTTATAGAGTTCGTAAGGGAAGAGGGGTTCATGGGGGGTTTAGGGTTTGGGGGGGGCGGGGGGGGGTTCATGAGGGGGCAGGTACCTAGGGAAGCTTAGGGAAGCTTCGGGAGCCTTGGTTCTTCCATTAGATAACCCTTAAATGGGCATAATTTTCCATAAATAGCTTGAATTATGGGGGGAACCTAGGGGGGGGGGGGTAGTACAGAGGGGGGTAGTAGGGGAACCCATGATGAATTTAAGCTTCGGGTTTCTGGGCATCTGGAGTCATGGTTGCGGGTTTAAGTTTTCAAGTCTCGGGCGCGTGGTATATATTATTGTCAGCACTTGTCTTATCTACTACCACAACTGCCATGTTGTTTAGGCTTGTTGGTGTGATGATTCCTGCAGCGATTATGATCATGGCGAAGATCGTGTTAATTTTATGTTGTTGTAATTCTCGTTGTCACTGTGATTGTATCTATCAAGCTGGGCCTGCCTGGGCTAGAGGATACAGCACTCGACCTTTGCAGAGACTGCAGTGAGTCGTGTGCTCTACCTGGGAAAGCGTAGATCGGAACCCTAAACCCTAAACCCTAAACGCTAAACCCTAAACCCTGAACCCTGAACCATGAACCCTGAACCCGAAACTCTAAACCCTAAACCCTAAACCCTAGCCGAAGCGTTGATGTTAGCACATAAGCCCCGATAGGCGTTGAGGGCAAGCTTCATGGCTGCCAGTACCGACATCAAATCCCCGACCCGTTTTCAGCAACATCCTACGAAGCCAACACCCCAAGCTTCATAAACCTTTGGGTTTATAGGGTTTTAGGATTTTGGGGGGGTGGTAGGGTTTTGGGGTCTTCTGGCTTCAGGGTCTCTGGGTCTTAGGGTTTAATTCGGGCCAATGGTGAGGACGCCGCGATCTGCAGGTCGCGGAGAAGATACGAGGCGGCAGAGTCGGCTTCTGACCACAGTTTGTTCGGCCATACACAGGTCCTTTTGCCTCAGGGGGAGTTGAGTAGGCCTATAAGGCAAGAAGCCCTATAAAGCCCTATAAAGCCCTACAAAGCCCTACAAAGCCCTACAAAGCCCTATAAAGCCCTACAAAGCCCTGTAAAGACCCATAGACTGGCCCTGTAGGGGCTTACTAAAACCCCACAAAGCCCCAAAAGAGACCCCAACAAAAAGGGTCCAGTGTTTAGGGCAACCCCAAGCCCGAAACCGAAAGCCGGAGCCCCTCGCACCCACGCCCATGTGCGGGTTGACGGTTTAGGGAGGGTTTCGGGCAAGGGTTTAGGGTTTGGGGTTCAGGGTTTAGGGTTTAGGGTTTAGGGTTTAGGGTTTAGGGCTAGGGTTTAGGGTTTCGCGTGCCAGGCCGGGTTGCGCCGCGAGGGCGTCAACGAGGCCGATGCGAAGCTGACAGAGCAGGAGGCCGGGCTTCGGGGCTTGGCAGTAGGTTTCGGGTTTAGGGTTTCGGGTTTGGGGTTTAGGGTTTGGGGTTTGGGGTTTAGGGTTTCGGGTTTGGGGTTTGGGGTTTAGGGTTTGGGGTTTAGGGTTTGGGGTTTAGGGTTTGGGGTTTAGGGTTTCGGGTTGAGGGCTTAGGGTTTAGGGCTTCTGATTTTGAGCTTTTCGGGGTTTGAGGGCTTGGGGTTCTAGGACTCGGTGTTGGGGGTGGGGTTGGGAGCTTTAGGGTTGTCAGTGGTCGGGGCGTTTGTTTAAAAATTGTCGGTTGCAGGGTTTGGGTCTTTGGTGTGTTTTAACCCTAAAGCCAAACCCTATAAACCCTAAACCCCAGACCCTAAACCCTAAACCCAGGTGGTGGACGAGTCAATTCGTTTGAGCCGCCTGGAGTTTGAGCACAAGTCTGAAGCGGAGATGGCCCGGATCTTAGACAAGGGCAGCCGCATCTTCTCACGAAAACACGAAACCCCCAAACCCGGAACCCCTAAACCCTAAGCCCCAAGCCCTAACCCCTAAGCCCCACGCCCTAAACCCTAAACCCTAAACCCTAAACCCTAAACCCTAAACCCTAAACCCTAAACCCTAAACCCTAAACCCTAAACCCTAAACCCTAAACCCTAGGGCTTAGGACTCCGAAGCAACTTTTTGTTCGCTGAGGACATGGCGCTTCAAGACTCGCGCGCCGAATGGGAGAAGCCATGGCCCCTGGTTGTTCAGGGCTGACGCGCTTAGGAATGGGGTTTAGGGTTTAGGGTTTAGGGTTTAGGGTTTAGGGTTTAGGGTTTAGGGCTTAGGGTTTAGGGTTTAGGGTTTAAGGGTTCGGAGTTCAGGGTTTAGGGTTTAAGGCATAGGGCTTAGGGTTTAGGGTTTTGTGTTTATGATTGGCCTGGGCCGGCGATCCGCAAGGTCCCCTTTACGTTGCTGATTATGTAGTTGCTATCACCCCACTCCCAGAATCCTTTCCCGTTTGACTTGTATGTTCTTTCTTCTTCTTCCTTGACTCGGGACTATCTACGTGCGTGCTTCCAGAAACTTCCTCCTTTTGAAGACTTGATTTCGGGTTTTTGTGTGAGGGTACCCAGATTCGGAACAGGGAGGTCCTAGAAGGGTCTAGGAACGCCCCAGAAAGGTACCAGAGCATGTCGGGTTTCAGTCAGGACGGGTTGGGGAGGTCCCAGGCGAGTTTCAGGGGGTCCAGGGCAGTGCCAAGAATCGCAGCCGTTTTTTGGGCAGAAGCTGAGCAATGGGCCAGGAACAGACCCCCCAAACCCGAAACCCTAACCTCAAACCGTGAACCCGCCCAGAATTCGAAAACCCAAGCCCGAGCAGCGCAAACCCTAAGCCACAAATCCTTAACCCTAAACCCTAAACCCTAAACCCTAAGCCCTAAGCCCTAAGCCCTAAACCCTAAACCCTAAACCCTGAACCCTGAACCCTAAACCCTAACCCTAAACCCTAAACCCTAAACCCTAAACCCTGACCAAACCAGCAACTCCGAAGCCAGGACGCTAAGCACACCCGACCTAAGGGTGTAGGGTTTGTGGTTTGGGGGCTTTTGGGGGTTTTTGTGTTAAGTAAGGGTTTAGTTTTTGTTTTTTATTTATTCATGTTTTTTTTTTTTTTTGGGGGGGGGGTGTTTGGTTTTTGTTGCTGTCTTGGGAGTTTTTTGGGCGTTTTGGGGTGTACGGCTTAGTGGTTTATAAAGGGTTGTAGGTTTCAAGGTGTAAGGTGTAGGGTTGAGGGTTTAGGGACTTGGCAAAAGGGTTCAGCGGGTTTAGGGTTTAGGGCTCGAGGGCGGACACGCACTTGATGCGCCCAGAGGGTATAGGGTTCTTAACCCTAACCCTAGACCCCAGACCCCAGACCCTAGACCCTAAACCCTAAACCCTAAACCCCAAACCCTAAACCCTAAACCCATAACCAGAGGTCGGAAAGGAAGCGGATGGAGGAGGAGGTGGTCGACGCCATCCTCCAGCAATCGGCCGGTACCCAAGCAGAGCAATCCCCCATCTTCAGGTAGGTTCTTGGGACATCTTATGTTTCCCTTGTGGGGTTTTAAGAGGATCATATTCAGGAATATTTTTCAGAGGGTTTCAAGGGCCATCCTCCTCAAGAATGCTCTGAAAATGAAAAAATGGCTACCCCTACGCCCTATAATCAGCCTTGGCTAGACGTCCATCATGCATACCTTTTATTTTAGGGTTTCTAAGAGACTTAGGAGCCCCAGAAGTCAAGAGGCTTTCGCGTTCGAGTCCGAGTCCGGGTTCATATGGGACAGCAACCCGTGCAGCCCTATGAGGGTAAATTGGATCAGTTCAACTAGGTTATTCCCTATTAAATGTTTCTAGGCCCCTAAACCCTAAACCCTAAACCCTTGATTCCTCAGCTTGCGGCGACATCAGCCAACAGTTTCTTGTGGTTGTGGCTTCGGCTGACTCAACACGCGAAGGACCGCCGAACTCCAACACCTCATTCCCTACAGGCTGTGTCCTCAAAGCAGATTCAATCAAGGGACCAAAGGACGGACCCTTCTAGACCCTTAGGGGTAATATGGGGGTATATAGACTCTTTGTGAGGTATATATAGGGGTTATAGAGGGGAAGAAGATGAAGGGCCCCTCCTAGAGGTCCCTCCCTACATCCCTTCAGGTTCTGGAGGAGGAGCAGAAGCAGCTCACTCTTGCCATGAAAGAGTCTAAGGCCGGCCATCTCGCACAGACTGCGCCAGCTAGCCCTAAACCTTGGGATGTTCGCCCTCTACTAGCGGTCCTTAGTAGGGATTCTGAGAGGGGGAGCACTAGAATCCCTATTCAGGCCTGTTAGTAAAAGGCGGAACATCCCAACCTAAGCCCAAAGTCCAGAAATATCTTCCACCCCACCACCCCCCCGCTTCCCCAAGCCCTGAACCCTAAACCTTAAACCGTGAAGCCTGAACCATAGCCCCTAAGCATCCGATGCTGAAGAGTTAAGGCCCTTTCGTAGTTTATAGGATGTTTGGAGGATCGACTTTTTGAAGACCTCTCCTAAGATCGGCAAAGCAACTTGAAATCAACCGGCAAGCACTGTATCTATTCTTCTTGCTACTATATGGTTACTAGTGGTAATTCTTGTTAGCATATTCTTATGATGTTATAGTATCAGTATTTTCGTACCCTATTCTCTTCTGCTCTTTTCTACTTCCTATGTTAGAAAGCTCTCCCAGCGACGCAGGCTTCCTTGCGCTAGTAGGTGCCATGTTCTCATGGGTTTAGGGTTTAGGTCCCTTCCTGACATGTCTTGGGGTTCCTAATTCCTAAGCCCCAAACCGTAACCTGTAAACCCTAAACTCTAAACCCTCACTCAAGCCCCTGCAACGTGGAATTTTTCAGAAGTGAAGAAGGAAGCTTTCCTCGAAGCTCCCCGAGACTTTCCTCGCAGCCTTCCTCGAAACTGTCCCCGACCCTGAACCCTGAACCCTGAACCCTGAACCCTAAACCCTAAACCCTAAACCCTAAAATCAATGAAGAGTAATGGGGCTCGCTTGGTCCCCTACAGTACTCGGGTGGGGCCTCGGCCTCGAAGTCCCTCGAAGAAGCCCAGGACATCCCCCCCCCCCCCCAAAAAAAAAACAAAAAACAAAAAAAAACAGAGTGTATATATATATATATATAGATATATATATATATACAGATATATATATATATATATATATCCCCAGCCCTGAGCACAAGCCCCTAAACCCCTTCAACCTCTCCATTCCGAGCCCGGAGCCCCCCAAAAGCCCCTGAACCCTAACCCCAACCCCTAGCCCCTAAACCCTAAACCCTCAACCCCAAACCCCTAAAGCCCAACAGTAAACCCTAAACCCACGGCTCACCCCAAAGCCTAGCAGCAAACCCTAAACCCATCTGTGAAGGAGGATGTTATCCACAATAGACCCGAGTTCGCGGCGCTCTATGGAATGGTTGGAGCCCAAATTTTCGAAGAGGGCGTGTGTTTAGGGTTTAGGGCTTAGGGTTCAGGGTTTAAGGTTCAGTTCTCAGTGACAGGAAGAGAGAGCGGCTAACCGTTACTTTTCCTTGTGGATGATTCGCGTGTTGGTTTGCTTCTAGGATCCCTGGGTCGAAAACCAGGATGACGCAGATGGGGGTTTCCGAAAATAGAGGGTACCCATTTAAGGGTTTTGTTAGAGCAAGGATTATACTAGTTGGGGGTAGAACACGGGGTCCCCTTTTTTGGGAACTTCCCAGATGATAGGAAAGGTCTTATGGGTTCTATTTCCATGTTAACCAACTAGGAACTAGTAGATCTTCCAGGATGATAATGTTGATCTGTGGTGGATTCCTGGCTTATTTGTATGAGAGTTAGGGTCTCACGGTGTGACAGGGGAGATTCCGGAAGGTTAGACACGCCGTTGGAGTCCCGAGGGTGGTTCCCTGTCAAGAGATATTGGGGTCTGGGAACCCTAAACCCTAAACCCTAAACCCTAAACCCTAAACCCTAAACCCTAAACCCTAAACCCTAAACCCTAAACCCTAAACCCTAAACCCTAAACCCTAAACCCTAAACCCTAACTGCGCAGCCCTCGGCCTCAACTCCTGTCCCATGTTAGAGCCCTATCGATGCCCTAACGCAAAGGCAAACCTTCGGGTTTTAGGGTTTAGAGCATAGGGTTTAGGGTTTCGAGAAATCAAGCCCTTAACCCTCGACCTTATTCGAGCCCGACTGCAACTCTAGCTCAAACTTGACAGGGGTTCTTTCTTTGGAATAGGGTTTATTGGGCTTAGGGCTTATAGGGCTTGGCGAAGTTTGGGGCGGCGGGGATGGAGGTTTCGGTTTCGGGCATCGGCAGCACTGCTATGATTCACGTACGTGACCAGTTCTCGAACCATGAATCCCTGGGGCAGGGGCCGTTCTGAGGCCCTACAAGATACCTCATAAGCTGAGTTCGCCAATAGTTTAACTTTATTTTTTTAGGTTTCTTTACTTGGTTATTGGAGAAGTAATTAAGCGAATATAGCCTCCAAACCAAACCGAAATCTTTTCTGGAAGAGCCGTCCCGATGCTTCAACCAGAATATGACCTTGACCCAATCACCCTGTAGGCTTAGCGTTTCCTACCTACCCCTCGTGAAGGTAGCCCCGATATGCCCCTACGTGGGGGGGGGGTACTTGGGGGGGGCGGGGGGTTGGAACCCTAAACCCTAAACCCTAAACCTAAAATCCTGAGCTCCACAATCTTTGCCACCTGAACCCGGCCAACCTGTTGCGACACTGGAGCCTGCAAAACGAAGCCACTCGTGCATTTAATTTGGGGTTTAGGGTTTAGGGTTTAGGGGTTTAGGGGTTTAGGGTTTAGGGTTTAGGGTTTAGGAGCCCCAGTCGAAGTCCGCCCACTCCCTAGCCAGCCTGGGGGCGGAGAGTTTCGGGCTTGTGGTATGGGCTGTCGGGCTCTAGGGTCTAGGGTTTACGATGTTGGGGCTCAGGCGGCTTCTTGAAAGACGTTTGGAGTTTTTGCGGGGCTAGAAACTTCTTATACTAGGTAGGCCCTTGGGACATGTTCATATTTTCCCTTGCTGGGTAGTTTAAGAGGACCACATTTCAGGAATATTTTTCAGAAAGTTTTTAGCGGCCATGCTAGTTTCGGGATTTTTAGAGCTGCTGAGCGAAGGTCACGCCAGCTGAGACCGCCTGCCTCTAAGGACAGAGGGCTCCGACTTGGTGTCTTATCGAGTGGTGGGGGTTTGAAGGTTTACTTAGGGCTTATTAGGCTTTAGGGTTTAGGGTTTAGTTTAAGGCTCTTTTAAGGGTTTAGGGCTTGGGCGTTGTTAGGGGTTGGGGTTTAAGGTGCGAAGCTTTAGGGTCTGTGAGGGTTTAGAGGGTGCTGGGTCCAGGGTCCAGGTTTCTGAGTTGGGGATCATAGAGGGGTTTCCAAAAACCCTAGACCCCCCAAAACCCAAGCCTTAAACCGTAAACCCCAAAACCCGCAACCCCAAAAAACCTGGACCCCCAAAAACCTAAACCTTAAACCCGAAAACCCTGAACCCCAAAAACCGAGACCCTCAACCTAAACCACAAACCCTTTTGAAGGTTTTCATTTTCAGGGGCCTCGGTGGCATCGGGGTTTCCTAGATTAGGGTACCCAAATTGGGTTTCCTACAATAAGAGTTCGTGCCATTGTGGAGTCTTTCAGGGGTATGTGTTGGGGGGGTCCTAATTATATTCAGGATTCGTACTATTTTGGGTTTTGGAGGGTATATGAGGGGGGGGTATCCCTTTTTTTGGACTTCCCTAAATCCCGATGACCCTGAGCCCCGTATACTAGCCTCCTTCAGTATTACACCCCCTCCACACCTCGCGTCGACAACCAGCGCTCAGGTCCAGGGTGCTTCCTCCTCTTCGGCGTACGAAGAGAAGAGGTGGGTAGGTATGAACCGTAAGCCCTAAGCCCTAAACCCGAAATACCCGAATCCTCAAACCCCCTCAAGCGATCGTTGAGGGTTCCAGTGTGGGCTGCTGGGGTGCTGGGCTTCTGGAGACTTGGGAGTTTGGGCGTTTTAGGGTTTAGGGTTTAAAGTTTAGGGTTTAGGGTTTAAGTTTAGGGTTTAGGGTTTAGGGTTTAAAGTTTAGGGTTTAACTAGGGTTCAGGGTTTAGGGTGTAAAGTTTAGGGTTTAATTAGGGTTTAGGGTTTAGGGTTTAGAGGGGATGGATGCGGATCAGAGTCCGATGCTCCCAGGGACAGCCGGGATTTTCAGTACCCGGAGAGCGTCTATGCTGCCCAAGCCTGAGCCGAGCCACCTGAGTCCTGTGCAGCGCGCACCTCGGACCCCTCAAACCCTAAACCCTAAACCCTAAACCCTAAACCCTAAACCCTAAACCCTAAACCCTAAACCCTAAACCCTAAACCCTAAACCCTAAACCCTAGTTGAACCCAAAACCATAAACTACAAGTTTGTGTTCGGATCTAAGGTCATGTCAATGGGCTTCCCGCTCGAAAAGTGCA